TTTGGTCATATATGGGAAATTTAAAAAGGCCTTTATTTTGGAAGGCAACATCAGAATGACTTGATATTTATAAGGTATCACTGTGGGGTTGTATACTGTTGATCTAAAGTGGAATTACCCTGTAGAAACAACAATTTTCCATTTTAGAGCATTTTGAAATCACTGAAAGTTTGGTCGTATATGGACAATTTGAAAGGCCTTTATTTTGGAAGGCAACATCAGAATGACTTGATATTGATACAGTATCACTGTGGGGTTGTATACTGTTGATCTAAAGAGGAATTACCCTGTGGAAACAGCAATTTTCTACTTTAGAGCATTTTGAAATCACTGAAAGTTTGGTCGTATATGGACTATTTGAAAGGCCTTTATTTTGGAAGGCAACATCAGAATGACTTGATATTGATATGGTATCACTGTGGGGTTGTATACCGTTGATCTAAAGTGGAATTACCCTGTGGAAACAGCAATTTTCCATTTTAGATCATTTTGAAATCACTGAAAGTTTGGTCGTACATGGGCAATTTAAAAAGGCCTTTATTTTGGAAGCAACATCAGAATGACTTGATATTGATACAGTATCACTTTGGGGTTGTTTACTGTTGATCTAAATTGAGATTACCCTGTGGAAAGAGCAATTTTCTATTTTAGAGCATTTTGAAATCACTGAAAGTTTGGTCGTATATGGACTATTTGAAAGGCCTTTACTTTGGAAGGCAACATCAGAATGACTTGATATTGATTTGGTATCACTGTGGGGTTGTATACAGTTGATCTAAAGTGGAATTACCCTGTGGAAACAGCAATTTTCTACTTTAGAGCATTTTGAAATCACTGAAAGTTTGGTCGTATATGGACTATTTGAAAGGCCTTTATTTTGGAAGGCAACATCAGAATGACTTGATATTGATATGGTATCACTGTGGGGTTGTATACCGTTGATCTAAAGTGGAATTACCCTGTGGAAACAGCAATCTTCTACTTTAGAGCATTTTGAAATCACTGAAGATTAGGTCAACTGTGGACAATTTTAAAAGGCCTTTATTTTGGAAGGCAACATCAGAATGACTTGATATTGATACAGTATCACTGTGGGGTTGTATACTGTTGATCTAAAGTGGAATTACCCTGTGGAAACAGCAATTTTCCATTTTAGAGCATTTTGAAATCATTAAAGGTAGGTCAATTATGCACAGTTTGAAAGGGCTTTTATTTTTGAAAGCAAAATCAGAATAATTTGATATTGATACAGTATCACTGTGGGGTTGTATACTGTTGATCTAAAGTGGAATTACCCTGTGGAAACAGCAATTTTCTATTTTAGAGCATTTTGAAATCACTGAAAGTTTGGTCGTATATTGGCAATCTAAAAAGGCCTTTATTTTGGAAGGCAACATCAGAATGACTTGATATTGATACAGTATCACTGTGGGGTTGTTTACAGTTGATCTAAAGTGGAATTACCCTGTGGAAACAGCAATTTTCCATTTTAGAGCATTTTGAAAACGTTAAAAGAGTCGGTCAAATATGGGCAATTTCAAATTTCTGTGGTTTGATAGTGTTGATACAAAATGCAACTACTCTTTGGAAATATGACCTTTGCTTTTAAGAGCATTCTGAAGTCATGGAAAGAGTAGTTTAAAAATGAAAATTCACAGGGCTTTTACTTTCAAATCCAAAATAAGATTGCCTTGATATTGACAGGGCGCTAATAGTGAACAAGCCTAAATTATTAGTTATTATGTTCTTAAAATATCTGATAATTCACTCGAAGTTGAATTTTATTTTGAAATCTGGTTTCCACATCCATTTCCGTAATAATTTCAATAGACGGGGAACAGAAAACAAACTGGAGGCTGGCTTGTCTGCAATGCTGGAATTGGAGGCTGGCTTGACACCAGTAACATAACCAAGATGGTGCCACTGTTGACGTAAATATAGAAGCGAAAAGCGTCATCTAGCGTTAGCATTTCTTTATGGTTATTAACATAAAATGCTTCTCTTTACAAAAAATAATTCCACATTTAGATAATAAAACGTTTCAATCGCTGCTTAACTAACAGCAAACACATCAGTGATAGGTACTTACCTTGGCTAGCATCAACATTATAGCTCATATCCTACAGAAGCCAGCGTTAGCATAGCAGTTAGCGCCGTGGCTAACAATATCTGTGATCTTTTAAACATTATAAGACAATTACAATGGTCTATATCAGAGTAACCTTAGTATTAAATGTTCCAAGAAGAGCCCAACGATTTCTAGTATCGCGGAATATGCAGCTCCGTGTATGTTGCAGCCGAACTGCTGTGCACACAGATGTGGGTGAAAGCTAACTGGAGCATCTCGCTTGCTACCGGGAGAGATAATATGTTACGTCGTTGTTTTAAATTAGGCTATCACTAACAAAATCCAGGGTGACTATAAAATATGTGTAATTCCGCATAAATTTACTTACCGTTCGCCACCAACACAGTGCTTGATATCCTGAACATGTGCTGTTGAAAATGTCCGCTTGAGCAAAGGTGAGGAACTGTGGGAGGTTTACACGTCATTAAGTTTTATTTTACATCGACACAACTTAAAATTATATTGTGTTTTGATTAACTGATCATTTTAAATTCAGACTAGTCATAAAAGGCAAAATTTGTGTGTCACCTGAACTCAATATAATACAATTTTTAATTAAGAAGTCTAACAGTGTTTATGAACTTGATTTTTCATTTCACAACAACATATATATTTAAGTAATGACTAAAGGTCCCATTAATTACTTTTTAGGGTGCAAGATCTGATCATTTTTTAGGATTTTTATTAAAAATGAAGTCATTTCTTTCAATAGCTCCTAGGTTAATTGATTTTAATACCTCAATGATGCTGCTAAGCCAGACCAATGAGACACAGCAGCTTTTAACACATTTCATACAATCTGATCTTTTTTTTATTACAATTTTTATCAAAAAAGGGATTTATTTCCAATAGCTCCTAGATAAATTTTTCAAAATAACCTAACCCATTTGTCAGTGATGTTACTAAGCTAGACCAATGAGACACAACAGTTTTATCACATTTCACAAGATTCAACCTTTTTTTTATTAGGATTTTCATAAAAATTAATTGGTTTCTTTTAATAGGTCCCATGTTAATTGCTCTAAACACCCGAAACCATTTATCAATAATTTTACTAAGCCAGACCAATGAGAGACCGCTGTTTTTTAACACCTTTCATACAATCTGATCTTTTTATTAAGATTTTTTATCAAAAATTAATGGATTTTTTCAATAGCTCCTAGGTAAATTATTCAAAATACCCAAAACCAATTCTCAATTATGTTAATAAGTCAAACCAATGAGACACAGCAGTTTTTAACACCTTTCATACAATCTGATCTTTTTTATTAGGATTTTTAATTTAAAAAAGTGATTTACCATACCATACCTGTATTTGTAAAGCGCTTTTAACACGGCATTACAGCCGACCAAAGCGCTGCACATAAAAACAAATAATAAAAAACACAAGCTAATATAGTCGTGTATATCATATGAAGTAAAAACAATAAGAGTTAAAAAAAACAACAAACTAAAACCAATAGAACAAGTAAAACCAGAATATAAAAACACTATTTTAAAATCAAACAAACAAGGTGGAAAAACTAAGGATGAGTTCATGCTTTATGGTTTGGGAGTTGAAGGCCAGGGAGAGCGGGTTTTCAGGTGTGATTTAAAAACGGCAATAGAGGCTGCTTGATTTCTTTCAATAAGTCCTCTAAACACCCAAAACATTTCTCAATCATTTTACTAAGCTAGACCAATGAGACACAACAGTTTTATCACATTTCACACGATCGGATCATTTTTACTAGGATTTTTATAAAAAATAAAGTGATTTTTTTTCAATAGCTCCTAGGTTAACTGTTTTTACAACTCAAAACCATTTCTCAGCTACTAAGCCAGACAAAAGAGTCATAGCAGTTTTTTTATCACATTTCACAAGATCCAACCTTTTTTATTAGGATTTTTTAAAATGTATTGCTCTAAATACCCAAAACCATTTTCAATGATTTTACTAAGCCAGATCAATGAGACACAGCAGTTTTTAACACCTTTCATACAATCTGATCTTTTTATTAGGATTTTTATCAAAAATTAATGGATTTCTTATTTCTTAATAATGATCAGATTTTGTGAAATGTGATAAAACTGCTGTGTCTCATTGGTCTAGCTTATTAAAATGATTGAGAATAGGTTTTGGGTGTTTAGAGCAATTAGGACCTATTGAAAGAAATCACTTAATTTTTTTTATAAAAATCCCAATGAAAAACGTTGGATCTTGTGAAATGTGATTAAAAACTGCTGTGTCTCATTGGTCTCCATTAGTGACATCATGGAGAAATGATTTTGAATATTAAATCAATTAACCTAGGAGCTATTGAAAGAAATCACTATTTTTTGACAAAAATCCTTATAAAAAGATCAGATTGTATGAAAGGTGGTAAAAGCTGCTGTGTGTCATGAGTCATTGGTCTGGCTTAGTAACATCATTGAGAAATGGTTTTGGGTGTTTACATCAAATAACCTAGGATGCATTGAAAGAAATCGTTTAATTTTTGATAAAATTCTTAATAAAAAAGGTCGGATCTTGTGAAATAATTAAAAAAACTGCTGTGTCTCCTTGGTCTACATTAGTAACATCGTTGAGAAATGGTTTTGGATATTAAAATAAAGTAACGTAGGAGGTATTAAAAAAGTCCCTTCATTTTAGATAAAAAGTTTTAATAAAAAAGATCAGATTTTGTGAAATGTTATACAAAGTGTTGTGTCTTGTAAATGTAGTTTACTAACACAACTCAGAAGTAATTTTGTGTAATTAAGACAATTATTCTGGAAGCTTTTTATTTTTGGTACTCGTTTACAAAAGACTACAAATTGGTTGATGGTCCCTAAGCGGACAACTGCTCCCATTAGCGAGTCTTTGGAACTCAGCTAGCCGCCGTCTGTGGCGCAGCGCACGGCATGAAGACTTATCGTTGGCCGAGGGAACCAATGTCTGTCACATATCCAACGACTAACTTCAAGCTAATTTCATCGCGGTTTTAAAATCCTCGGAAAAATCTTTTTATGTCTCAGGATTTTCTCTCGGCCGTGTATCTGCATCGCAGGGTCCTTCCACCCCCCCCACCCCCCACCACACACACACACACACACACACACACACACACACACACATTTTCCCGGTGCGGTCCTCCTCCTCCTCCTTCTCCTCCTCTTCCTAGTTTTCTCCGAGTGGCACAGCGCGGCCATGGTGGACTCTCCCGGCGCAGCAGTGAAGAAAACATTCACGGTCCCGGAGATCAAGCCGCTGGATCGGTATGACGTGAACCGGGCCAAGATCTGCGCCAGCGTGCGGTGGCTGCTGTCTAAATCCTACGGCTCTGCAGGTAGAGTCTCCCCATCAGCGCGGCGCCTTATGGGTGGGGCGCTTCATCATTCCTCCTTCTTTATGCGATGCCCTGAGTTAAACACTTGTCCTGTTTTTGTGGTGTGACCCTTCAGCATCCTCCTCCTCAGCTTCAGCATCCTTTATCTGCCGCATCGATGCTCGGTTATTCTCTGCAGCCACCGGGATGGGGGTTAACTGAGGAGGGGGTTTAGTGAATATGAGGCATATGTCAGCAGGAATTTCCACGAATGGATCTAATCGCTGCAGTGCAACAAAGCCTTTCTGTCAGAACCAGACCCATGGAGGGGATCTAAAACCCAGAACCAGGAGGAAGATTATGCTTTGTGTTGAATACACCTTTGTCAGACACGCATTTATATATGTGTGTGTGTGTGTGCTGGCTGTATATGGGTCATACCCACATATTATTTGTGTCAGTGTTACGCACGCTGTGCTTCAGTGCATGGATGCTGTGAAGGTGACACGTGGACAATTAGATGCTTTTGTTATTGGGTTTATTCATGTTATGAATAAAATAAGCTTACCCTCAGAGCTGGAAATCTTCAGAGATGCAAACAAACATCTTCTACAGGCTCCTGTTTTATTCAGCTGAGGTTTCATGCTGATGTTTGGAAATGGTGATGTAATGAAGGAAATGATAAGTCAGCTGTGATCTTTGGATTCTTGCATTAGGGTAACATCATAAGTTGTATTATTTAACAAATAGACATATATATATATATATATATATATATATATATATATATATATATATATATATATATATATATATGTGTGTGTGTGTGTGTGTGTGTGTGTGTGTGTGTGTGTGTGTGTGTGTGTGTGTGTGTGTGTGTGTGCTGTCCCAACCTGCAAAATGCAGCCTGTCATTAACCTAGAAGACAAAATTATTGCAACTTTATGTGCATGCTTCCTCTTTATATTTAGTTATTATTGTCTGAACAGATTGCCATTTATTTAAGAACTGCATTTTTTTCTTTATTTTCTGTCGTGCAGGTGCAAAACTGCAGCATCTTAGTTTACTGTGTTAGTAAATATTTAGTCATTCCAGTGGCTATGTTAGATAAATGAACAGGTGAACAGACAATTAGGGAAATGGTTTTGATCTTATTTCCATACCATTACCAGCCTCTGTGTTGTGAATATAAAAACAAACATGGGTGAAAAGCTACAAAGATCCTCTGCAGAGGCCATGTGTGACCCCAGAGCCATGGTTTGCAGATCCTTGATTTCTTTTATGCTTCTTGACTATATGAAGATAAATGTCATGGTGTGTGTGTGTGTGTGTGTGTGTGTGTGTGTGTGTGTGTGTGTGTGTGTGTGTGTGTGTGTGTGTGTGTGTGTGTCCAGGTTCAGACACTGACTAAGGCAGCGATGTCAGACTTTAATCAGACTCTCCTATTGTTACCTTATGAAAACAAATGTTCTTAGCTTTAGGGTTAAAGGTCAAGGTGAAATTTATTCATAGCAGGTGAGACCAAAGTGCTTCACATGTTTTTGGTGCTGTGTTCAGTTATAAGACAAAAGCAGCTGATAGCAGAGAGCTTCTGTTGCCTCCCAGATGGAAATGCCTGCTGGGTGTCTCATACAATTTTAACGAACCTCCTACAGAAACTGGGGTTAATTTGATTTAATTCGTTTTTTTTTGTAAGTTTTTGTACGTTTTTTTTCTTTTAGTGTTTTATTCGAAGTCACTTACAGGCACAAACACAAATGATGAAATCCACTTTTTGTGGTTCTCAGAAGAGTGACTAAAGATTTAGCATAAAATGCTGCTTAAGTGCACATAAATAATGAGCCAATGCTGCAATGAATCAATCTAAAGGGTTGGAATTAATATTTAGATAAAAAATCTGAGGATTGGACAATGTACATCGTAGAAAGTGAACATAGGAAGTACAAAGATCATGTAAACACGAAGGCTTCTACCAACACCCAATTCCTTATTTATTCTATAAAAAAACAGAACACTGAGTTTGGTTTCCAGATTCCAGAAAAATAACGTCCTTTTCAGAGACAGCCAGTTATTTTCTCTGGAATTTGAGTAAATTCACATTTTTATTTTTTATTTTTTATTTTGTTTGTCAGCTGCTTATCAGTCAAATCTGCAAATTGTTTTCCAGATAACAGTTTTTGTTCCTGACTGTTTCCATCAGTATCTGAAACCATGACCTTTCTGTTTCTGCACATCTAAATAACGTCAGATTTCAGTTTTTCTAATGAATATCTCACACATTTACTGTGGTTCAAAGGTACACAGAATGACACCTAAAAATAATTAAATCAGCAAATTAATCCAGAGGGAAACAAATGTTTGCAGTCTGCAGGATTTTAGGTTGTTATGGTTGTTTATAGTAGATAGGATCAGCTGGATCCTGCTCTGCAGTCCCGTCTCATTCCCTTTACTGTGATCAAGATAAATGGCTGCTTTCCATTCCCACCGTTCCCATAGCGACGGAGATCCTCTTCCTCCACTCCAGAGCTGCAGACTGTGGAGAGCAAGAGTTCAAACCTAAACTGACTCCACAAGGAAGTGTGGTGAAACTCTTGATGATACAGTAAGAAGGATAGATTTTGACCTCTTGTCTCCTCTCAGTGGGACACAGAAATGATTCAGAGGATGACAGTTATATAATATAGCTTCACTGCAGCCAAACACAATGAAAACATTTCATTATGAATCATATTTGGACATAAAACTGCAGAAAACAAACAGAATCAGAGGTTTCTGCAGAACCCGAGGTGAACAATTTAACTGTTTAAGAGATATTTCCCATTTTTGGGATTATTCCAGAATAGGAATATGGGTCAGTAGTGTGGGTGTAAAGTCTGCAGTGTGTGTGTGTGTGTTGGTCTGAGATGACTGGACGTGCACACACTCGCTCGTCTGAGTAACCTCGCTGAGCTGTTCCTGCAGATGATGACATTATCCTCTCCTGCAGTTAGACTCTGTCACTTACTGTCGCCTCATTCTTGCAGAAAAACGCTTCCAGATTTCTACAGAACTTGTTTTTTTTACTTTAACCTAAAATCTGGTGCAGTCTCTCTGTGCATTAGTCTGCACAACAACTTTTCTGTTTGCTGTTTTCTGCAGCCGTCTGCAGAGGAAGTTCCACGAGGGATTTCAGAGAACAATGCAGCGCAAATGATCAATTTTTATTCTCGATGTCTGCAGAAAGGTCGGGCTCAGTGAAAGTCCTTTATTTGATGGGGAATCATTGACATCATTCTCTCTTTTTGTTTTTTTAGCCAGAGAGCAATTTGCCAGCTTATCTACTAAATCATGAACCATTAAATGGTCTACAAAGCCAATAAGGTTCTAGAATTTTACAGCAGTCATCTTACAAATCTTCCTGAATGATTAATTCATTGGGTTGCTATTTTTGTCAAGGCAGAGCTCACTCAGATGTTTTCTTCTTTTCTTTTTCAGAAAATGTTCCTGTTGAGCTTCGAGAGCCACTTTACAAAGACCAGTATGAGCAAGAGCATCTCAAGCCGTCCATCACCAAGCTGCTTCTCTCCCCAGAGGTTTATTGCCGGGCTCAAGCCCTGTTGGCTCCGGCACATGGGGTCTCTCCACCAGCATCGCAGGGGCCCCCGGCTGATAACTCAGCCCTGCTGCAGTTCCTCACAAAGAAAGGTCTCAGCCCAAAGGTTCAGGATGTGGACATCACAGAAGAGGACCTTAACCACACACCCATCAACACGGTGTGTGTGTGTGTGTGTGTGTGTGTGTGTGTGTGTGTGTGTGTGTGTGTGTGTGTGTGTGTGTGTGTGTGTGTGTGGCTTTATGAATTCTACATACTGGTTCTTAGATTAAAAACAGTGCTGCAAAAACATGAAATATTTCAAGTACTTCACCATTTTCAATCAGGTCTCAAATGAGAGTAGCAGAGTACCTTTTAATTAAGTTTATTAGTAAATGTTCAGAGAAGAGGAAAAGAGTGTTAAAGGGACACCAGGCAGTGTTGCTTGCTTTTAGCACCCCCTAGTGTCCATTATTAAATCACTGTGGTTAAACCGAAAATGAAACTACGCTCCTTGCTGCACGTTTGTCTTTTTAACACCTAATCTAACTGCTGAATTGTCTCCTCAGCCTTCATTAGTTTCTAGGCGAGTAATCTTCACTAAATTAAACAAATCAGCTGTGTTCACGAACTGTTTGATCAGTGGACTCGGTGGTCTCCTTCAAACAGCAGTGGAAAACTCACCTATTCAGGCTGGCTTTTGTGTGATTCACTGCCCTCTCCTTATTCTGCTCTCCCAACCTATTCTGCCTTCCCCAGAATTCACTGATTTCCCTCTTTCCTTTTCACGCTCTCTCTCTCTCTTAAAATTTTTAATCGCAATAGTCTATTTTTGCTTATTTTAAACATATTTTTAATAATTTGTTAAAATCTTTTTTTATATTGTTTATTTTTGTGAAGTGCCTCGTGATTTTAATCTTGACAGGCGCTTTCGAAAAGATTGTTTTCTTTCTTTCTTTCTTTCTTTCTTTCTTTCTTTCTTTCTTTCTTTCTTTCTTTCTTTCTTTCTTTCTTTCTTTCTTTCTTTCTTTCTTTCTTTCTTTCTTTCTTTCTTTCTTTCTAACAAGCAGGAAACGTGCTGGAAGCAGACTCCAGCTCCACCATGTTAGCTCCACTCCATAGTTCCCACCTCCAGCAGGGACCAGACCAGCAACTCTAAAGTTGCAAATGTGGTTTTCTGGCCACAGCGGGTGGTGGGTGTCTGAGTGTTCATTAACCCTGTAAAGGGTCATTTTGGCAAAAACTGGCTCAAGAAAATGAATTAAAAACATGAAAAATTTGAATAGTACCCATTAGCAGGGAAGCATTTAAAAGGAAACTATTATAATTTAACATATTGCGTTGCACTGTTTCGTATTGAACCATTTCATGTTGTATAATTGTACCCAATCACAACACGGGCGGTACACCTGGTGACAAAAACAGGTACTAAAACATTTAGCAGCTGGAGTTGGGAACAAAAAGACATCAATAAGTTCCCAAACCCCCCAACAGTCTTGGAGCATCCCGAGAACCTCCTTTCTTCGTCTGAGCAAGTGAAAACGCCAAGGCTCATTGTACAACTCCTGATTTAGGGTCATGGCCTAAACAGATTGGGAGATGCAAGTAGATAGGACAAAGGCTAATTTTCCCTTATGAGACTGCAGCAACCACCCAGATCTAGTCCTCTCTCCGATAAAGAGCCCTCAAGTCATGGTGGAGTTATGTTGGACAACTATAACTAGTCTGACTATGGAATATGCATTTTACTGCAAGGTGCAATATCATACAGTACCGTGCCAAACATTGCATGACATATCACAAGGCCTCACCACATTATACTTTGACATTATACCATAAATTACACCATACGTGATTGTATCTTCCTGTATTACATTTTTACTTACTACACATCACCATAATCTACTGTATCACATCGTCTCAGATCATACATAATCATACCCTGATCAATCACATTGGATCATATCATTTATACAGCTTTGTAATGCTATCTTTGCACCCTATTGCTATGTACGTTACCACAACTTACTGTGTTGTAATGTACCATGACGTTTTGGAATGCACGATATACTGTACTGCATCGTGTCGTATCATATGAAATCATTCTGTGTCATATTGCATCGTATCGTATCCTACTGGACTGTGTTTATTGTGTTGTAAGTATTGGGGGAAAGCGTTCATTTTTATTAGGTTTGTCTTACATATTACAGTGTTGTTAAAAGTGCATTTCTTTCATCTACAATGTGGTCAAAGCTTGTAATTTCTTATTTTACAAGTCAATTTTTAAGTGTCCTTTATGGCGTTTGTTTCTTCTTTACCTTAAAGTCATATTTTAATTAAAACCATCATAGACTCTGCCTAAAGGCATCCCTCGTGTCTCTGATTGGAGCAGAAAGCCCACCTCGCCCTCATCGACTCTCTGATGTCACTGGCAGCCAAAGAGGTGGTTGGTCAGGTGAAAATGGCAGAGGAGGCTGAGCAGATAGGTGTCGGAGCTCCGTGGGAGAACGCCCTGCTCTTTTGGGTCAATAGGGTAAGGCTACAAAAATGGTAGGAGTGAAAAGTTGCTGTCATTCATTTTCTTCTTGAGAGACCAGAAAAATGTCTTTACCACCAAAGTTTGAGATTAAAGGCAACAACAAAAGGGCTAATTTGTTTTGTGCTTTTAGTTGAACCAGAAGTTGAGAGAAAGCACAGAAGAAGAAGAGCTTCCCAAGACAAATACATGTACCGACCTGCAGCCTGTACAGGAAACGGTAAAACAACTACATGCTCCTTTTTCTTTAACTTCCCATTATTCATTCAGGGGTGTTCTAGTTTATTTTAACCATCACCACTGGGTTCCTCACCCAGTCCCGCAGCCTGTAACCAATGCTAACAACAAAGCAGCCATTTTACATGCACAAAGCCATTGTGTTTCATTGCTGTGACGTTGAAGCTGCTAACATCAGCTTTGGTTCGTCTCTGTCTTTTCTTACTCTCTGGCAGTCTCAGTCCACTCGTTGGTACTGGAAGCTAGTCCCCGTAAGTGTCCTCCTCTCTTTGCCTTCCTGTTCTGTCTCTCCATCTGCCATGGCTGACTTTACTGTGTCTGCTGAGATATACCACACTTTTATTTGTTCTTCTGTGGAACGTTTGTGCCAGATGACTCAATTCTTATTATTGTTTTAAATTGACGACAGTTTGGATGCTGATTCAGGTTTTCTGGAGTTTTACATAAAGCGATCATCTCGGATTCTCAGGGCTGAGGTGAAGACATGGATTTTGGACAGGAACAGGAGGAGTTGAATAATTATGTAATAAACGTACAGTGTAAATCATAAGTTTACATTCATGGTATAAAAGACGTTTAACCTTTTTGTTCATAGTGATTGAGAGTTAACAAAATAATTTCTATTTTCTAAATGTCCTTTCAGCCTGTGCATGTTGCTACTAGACCAGCTGTAGCTAGCATCTTTGATGAGTATTTTGCTGTTTTTCTTTTGTTTATTTTCTCATTTTATTAAGAAACACCCCTTCTCTCCTACCTACGTTCTCCTCTTCTATACTGCCCCCAGTGGTAGACACAAAATAGTCCCCCCCCCCCCCCCCCACCCCCCAAAAAAACGTGTCCGGAAAAAAAGGGAAATGTAAAATAAAAGCAAAAATATTAATCGATAAACGCAGGAGACCCTCAGAAGCTCTGAGTTTGGTGAAATGGGGAAAAAATATAAAAATAGAAGAACTTTATTGAACAAATGGCAAGCAACGTTTGAAGGAATGAATGGATTTATTCACACCAATTCCACATTTATACAAATGGAAATGGCTGCCAATTATGGAAATAAATTTTTTAATTTTCACATATAAGAACTGTCATGCATTCTGGCACAGTCTGATGTTGGTTGTGTGTAGGTTCACACCTTACAAAACGACGAAAAAATGGTGCTTTATTAATAAATTAGTTGTTAAGAAAACATTTAGGTGGTAAGAAACATGAATTTATTAACAAAACTGCTTAACTCCTTCCTAAAACCTACTATGTGTGAAAGAAAATCGAAAAAAAGATGTGATGTAGTGTGACGTCATCGGCAAGCGCAGGATCCCGAGCTGATCTGGCAACCCGAGCAGATTGGAAACCAGCGATGACGGAGGAAACAATATACCGTAAATCCTCTAATACAGGCCCGGGCCTGTATTTGACTCAAGCTCAGCAAGCTCCAGGCCTTTATTGGAAGGAGGGCCAGAATTAGAGGCAGGCCACTATTTCTATTTGAGCAAAATGAACTAATGGTTCACTGGAGTTTTTGACAATTCAAATTGCACCCACATTTTCAAAGTTAAACACATTTCTTTTAACAACGGTAGTTTCTGCTTCAGCCCCCTCCCCCCTCCCCCTGCGCAGCAGCCGCAAACTCACTGATGCGCCTGCAGCCTCTCGGAGTTCCTGCTGCTCTAAACATTAAAATAATTATTTCATTTTCTGTTCCTCACTTCTGATTACCTTCAGTGGTGTCTGTTTGTTGCAACCACCAGGTACAAAAACTAACTTGTTTTTATTTGACTATTTTTCTGTCCTGCCTGTTTATTATCTTCCTGCATCTCCTCTCAATCCTAAAGAGAAACTGCTACCTGGGTTCATTTATATTCTCCTTATGAGTTACCTTTGAACTGCAGTTCTAAAAGATCTACCGACCGCAAAAACAGCGGAGTGCTCGCTGCTTGGCGGCCGCATCAGTGATCGGTGCGTCGGAGGACAAGGTGATGCGCCCTGCTCCACAGCATGCAGCGAAATGCATCAGGCACAAATAAAAGACAGAAAACATTAAAGGAAATGAACCGACATAAACGATCGCGTGTCAGTACCGACGCTCTGGCACAGCGCGTTGCCCCCCCCGAGCGCAGGAGCTTGTCACCTGCTGATAGCAGGCTGCTGTCTTTTCCGAGGGTTGCATCTTGCCGGTCATTATCACGTGACAGCGACTAGTCGATGACAGGCATAAAAAGTCCCTATAGTGAAGTCGACTAGTTCATACAACCCCTACTGCTCCCCAGTGTTCTGCAGCGCACGTTTTCTTTGAACTTGATATCAAATTTTCGCCTCCTCTTCGTCTCCGCACGGTTAAAGTTACCCTCGCGGTCTATCACTGGCAAATCAAAAGTGAGACGATGACACAACCGCCCCCGTACTTGCTTGTTACCACATTCCACCCGGCCACAATAAGAGACCGGCCATTATTCACCTCCACCGACTCAGACACCGGCCAAAATATGAGACCCGGCCGTTAATTGAATACAGGCCTGTATTGGAGGATTTACGGTAGTGCTATATACCAGTCACCGTATCCTAGGTCTAAACGTCTTTTGTTGTCCATGATTTCAAATGGTGTTTATATTGGACTTTGGTAGTTTTTCCTAAAGTTAGAGTGATAGCAGCCAGCTGTTTCCCCTTCTCTGATATTATTGAGCCGCAAACCTGTCACACCAGTGGTGTTCTGGTGCTAAATGTGCGAGTGCGTAATGTATGGAGGACGCAGGGTAGTGCAGAAGTGCAGTGGTTCGGCCAGACCGACAACCGGATGGGCCACGGTATATTTATAACTGTACTATTTTAGAACGTTGTTAAGAGGCAGTAAAAATGTTTTAAGTTAATTTGTTTTCCAAATTTGCAATCGTAGCTTTGAAAGTCGTGACATCGTCTCCTCTGCGTTGGCATGAGGCTTTAAAGAAAGCAGCAACTGGACATTATTTTGTTATTTTTTTAACAGAAATGACAACAGGAAAAGTTAGATCATGAATTAAAAATAACAAGGTTATGTTTCTTTTTATCCTGTCTACCTTCCTCGCTTGTTCCTCTCCTCCTTTTCCTTTCTCCGTTGCTCCTGAGCAGAAACACGTGACTCTGGTGTGGCGGTTCCCACGATGACTGACCCCCTTCTCATTTATTCCTGTTTCCCTCTCTCTGCCATCCTCCATCCAGCATGCAATCGCTTTTTGTTTGAAGGAGTCGGGGAATAAGCCACCAGTGGTAACGTATAACAGCTCGCTCTTGTCTCACTTCCGTTCTCTTCATCGCTCGTAGCAATGCACCGGACTGACAGACAGACCGACCAATCACCACACCCTCCAGCCCTTACTGATGGACGGACTGCAGACTAATCACTGCTGATTGGATTAGCTCAGACTCATCTGCTTTTAACAGTTTAATTAATAGTCACGTTAAAGGTGGCGTCTTGTGGATGTTTGACATCCTCAGCCTCCTTTAACACGAATGAGAAACTATAAGTAGCAGCATCTAATTTTAGCTTTAGGTGTCTGGATGTTCAATAACAAGCCACCATCTGAGCATAAGAACTCACTGTTTTTATTTGGTTGTGTATTTCTGATCAAGTGTCACTCTTTTGTGTTTTTGCTGCATGAAAATCAAAAACCTCATGTTCACTCACGCTTTTTAAGCTTTAACCTGCACCTGCTGGTTGGTGTTTGCATATTTGTGTCATTTTTACTGGGTTTCATTAGAATCTTCTTCCTTTTTGTGGCTTTTATTCTCGCGGCGATTTGTCTGGCTTTGCAGCTTTTAATTCTGGTCCTGGCTGATTTCATGGTTTCTTTTTACCACTTTCAAGTCTTTTTGAACAATATCACCCGTATTTTTAATATTTATTCAAATATTATGTAGGATCCACCTTCTTTAACTCAGTTTCTTTGTACAGTAGTGAAACTCTTCTCCTGTCTCAACTCCCTTCTTCTTTCCTGTCTTTTCTTCTCTAGATTCGCTACAGGAAAGACAAAGTGCAGTCCAAACTGACTCCTACTTTCCCTCTGGTTTCTGCGGTCAAAGATCTGTCTAATGGCTGTGCAATAGCCGCTGCTGTGCACTACTATTGCCCCGGCTTGCTGCCTCTAGAGGGTACACACCTAAACAGACATTAACCAGACTTGCTTCTTTCTTTTCGTATTCAATCCCAAAAACATTCCAGATTTTTGGAAATTATTTTCGGCAGAAAGCATCTTGTGAGTACATTCTTTTGTAGAAAACTGCTTACTATTAGACTTTGCTAGACTTTCAGAACGTCTGAAGAAAAGGTTCTAAGAAACAGTTTGAATAATTACAAGAGCGTCTTACCACCGTAAATCCTCTAATACAGGCCCGGGCCTGTATTTTACTCAAGCTCATCAAGCTCCAGGCCTTTATTGGAAGGAGGACCAGAATTAGAGGCAGGCCTCTATTTCTGTTTGAGCAAAATGAACTAATGGTTCACTGGAGTTTTTGACAATTAATATTGCGCCCACATTTTCAAAGTTAAACACATTTCTTTTAACAACGGTAGTTTCTGCTTCAGCCCTCTCCCCCCTCCCCCCTCCCCCTGCGCAGTGGCCGTAAACTCACTGATGCGCCTGCAGCCTCTCGGAGTTCCTGCTGCTCTAAACATTAAAATAATTATTTTATTTTCTGTTCGTCACTTCTGATTACCTTCAATGGTGTCTGTTTGTTGCAACCACCAGGTACAAAAACTAACTTGTTTTTATTTGACTATTTTTCTGTGCTGCCTGTTTATTATCTTCCTGCATCTCCTCTCAATCCTAAAGAAAAACTGCTACCTGGGTTCATATATATTCACCTTATGAGTTACCTTTGAACTGCAGTTCTAAAAGATCTACCGACCGCAAAAACAGTGGAGTGCTCGCAGGCCGTAACCCCGGTGAGGTGCGTCACCGGAGGACAAAACAGGTGATGCACTCCGCTCCACAGCAGCAAAAAGCATCAGGCACAAATAAAAGAATAAAAGACAGAAAACATAAAAGGAAATGAGCCGACATGAACGATCGCGTGTTAAATTAGTTTTTGAGGTGGCGACACCTGATTTGATAATGTTACAGTGGCCGTGCTCAGGACGCAGATGTCTGGAGCGCGTCAACAATCAGAGTTTTGCATGCGCAAGCTGGTTAAGGTTAGGATGGGGTGAGGGGAAGGTTAAATTGCAAGAGGGAAAAGGTCACAATTTGGTTAAATGTCCGTTTTACAGCGGGTGTCAGTACCGACGCTCAGGCACAGCGTGTTGCCCCCCCGACGCACAGGAGCTTGTCACCTGCTGACAGCAGGCTGCTGTCTTTTCCAAGGACTGCATCTTGCCGGTCATTATCACGTGACAGCGTTTAGTTGATGACAGGCATAAAAAGTCACTATAGAGCGGTGAAGTCGACTAGTGACTAGTTCATACAACCCCTGCTACTGCTCCCCAGAGTGTTCTGCAGCATAATCAGCACGTTCTCTTTGAACTTGATATCAAGTTTTCGCCTCCTCTTGGTCTCCGCACGGTTAAAGTTACCCTCGCGGTCTATCACTGGCAAATCAAAAGTGAGACGGATGACACAACAGCCCCCCGTACTTGCTTGTTACCACATTCCACCTGGCCACAATAAAAAAAACGGCCATTATTCACCTCCGCCGACTCCGACACCGGCCAAAATGTGATACCCGGCCGTTAATTGAATACAGGCCAATATTAGAGGATTTATGGTATATTTGACTCAATGTTTCTGGACTGTTCTGTGGGAATGCATTATATTACATCTCTTCTTCCGCTGGTTCCAGATGTGTGTCTGAAGGACACTATGTCTGTGGCTGACAGCTTCTACAACCTGCAGCTGATCAAAGAGTTTTGTGAGAGCAGCTTGCAGAGCGGCTGCCCCCTGGCTGTAGAGGACCTTCTGTACGCTCCGCCCACTCTGCATGTAGGCATGAAGAACTTTGACAATTGTGTTCAAAATGATCACATGGTGCACTGATGGGAGAAAACAAACAACATTATCAGTACATGCACATTTACTTGTTGCTTGCTCATGTAGCGTCCATTCTATTTGCAAAATCACCTCAGTGATATCTTTTGAATCTCCATGGCAACCTCACATTTTCTTCTTCCTAGCTGAACATAATGAGCTTCATAGCGGAGCTACTGGAATGTTTTGAGGTGAAGAAGCCTGACTTTGTCAAGCCAGTGCAACCTATTGACCTCACAGGTTTGTTGTTGCACGTCGTTAATATGTCTTGATTGTTACCATAGTGACTACGTGGTGATTCTGTATCTTTCAGACATCTCAGGGTTACTTGACTGTACAAGCCCCGTCAGTGGGAACAGCAACAGGTATCAACTTCCTGGCACACTAGCACTTAACAAATCAGGACAGGGCAGTTAATCAAATGTAAATTTTCATTTTGATTTAGGCTCCAGACACATGCAAAAACAATGTATTTGACAAAAATAATAATTGAATACAAATATTTTGTCACATTCTGATTTACAAGCCAGTGGTGCTACAGGAAATTTCCATACGGGCCAGAGAAACTTTTTTGGGGGGGGGGGGGGGGGGGGGGGGGGGCTTGGAGTGTTTAGCATGTAGCTTTCCAATTTTATTATTTTAGAATCTCAAAACTGTTTCATTTGCCTGTTCCAACAAAAATATCCACAAAAACATTTATAATTTGATTCAAGTAAGATGAATGTGATTTTAAATGGGGGTGGGAGATGGTTTAATTTGGGGTGGTCTACAATTTTCCAATTTGCCATTCCTTGGGGCCGGGGCACCACTGTTGTAAGCATGCTCTTATTTGTTCTTTCCTTTCGATGCACACCTGCTCCCTTTTTGGAAGGTAAACTGCCTGGCAACTATGTGTAAGAAAGATTAAACAAGTGAGGATGGCAGAACAATGGCAAAACACACTGGTGGTGATACTTGTCAAAATACACCTCCATCATTTCCTGTCCTAACCTTCTCATGCCCTGTGATGCTGCATTTTGATAATCTTGTCATTCCGTTTGTTCCTGTTTCAGCGGTTCTCCTTCGTTCATCTTTAAACAACCGTTTGTGCCCATCCCTTCTCTTGTGTCCACAGGTAAGACCAATACATTAGTGTTTTACAGATGAGTGATTACAGGTTGGTTCAATTTGATGTCCTAATTTGGTGATCATTTTTTCAGAAAACAAAAATTGGACAAAAAAACAGATTAGGTAGGTGTCCTTAAACTGTGTAGTTTTGATTGTAAATGTTGTGTTGCCTTCATATTTTGGTTTTTTAATCCTCTTACTTTGGCTTTTGTGGTTTCTGCTTTTCAATACTCGCTATCATCCGTGTTCCCATCTCCGTGTCGTCATCCACCTTCTGCAGTCGTCCTCTGTCAGCAGTGACTTTCAGCATCCCATTTGGCCTGGACAGTGATGTTGACATTGTCATGGGAAACCCAATAGATTCTGTCTTTCGCTCTGTCAGCACTGACAACCTCACCACTGGCATCCCTGCTCTCACCTCCACGGCAACATCAGCGGGGATGACGTGTGTCTCGTACAGCCCTCCGGAGGACCTCAGCCACCTGGTCAGCGCCTCTGCCCCAGCGCAGCGGTCTTCCTGGGGCCCCTATGCACACACGGCACCGCTGGGAGAACTCCCGACCATTGAGGAGGTGCGACAAGTGGTTCACATACCTGACAGCAAAGACAGAAAGAAGGGGGGGACAAGTGAGAAAAGTGGGAGGGCAGTATTCACGGGCAGGCCGGAGCCCAGGTTACGTCCAGAGGGAGCACCTGCAGGTTTCTTTCTGCACTCCCCCGAAGAGAATAACTCCCAACTGAGCAGCTCAGCTCCCTGTCGCTCGGGGGTTCTCTGTCGACCAGTCAGAGGGGAGGCTGGTGACCATGACAGGCAAGGAAAAAGAGAGCGATCCAAACAGTACTCTATGTCACGTGATGACGACTCTGTTCTACGAGATGGCAGCATTGACTCGTCTGAAGCTTCAGATGATTTGCCCAGAAACACCCCTGGCAATATACGACCCAGTAATGGTCGCCATGGAAACCACAGTAGCAACAGCAGTCCGTGCATGACAAGCTTTGCTGAACGACGAGACAACCGACGAAGACAAGCTGCCACTCCCGGGGAGGAGTCAGCATCTGCTCCAACACCAACAACACCAGGAACACCACACACACCCTCAACACCAGCAGGTGCATCAGGCCACCAGCATCAACTGGACGGTCCAGCCTCGAGAGGTCCCGAGCTAAGCTCCGAGGCCTGGGAGCTGGGAGCTCGCCTCGAAGAAAAACGCAAAAGCATAGAAGCTCAAAAAAGGCGCATTGAAGCCATTTTTGCCAAGCACAGGCAAAGGCTCGGGAAAACTGCTTTCCTTCAGCTGAAAAGGGAGCAGGGAGAGGGCGGAGTGGAGGGAGCAGAGGAAGATAATCTGACCCTGGAGGAGCGTCTCACTCGCATGGAGGAGCAGCTGAAGCAGGATGAGGAGAAAGTGGAAAAGGAAAGAGAAACAGAGAAAGAGAAGCCATCTGTTTCCGACCCACCTCGACTGGAGAAACAGGTCACTTTCTCCATCGACAACAAGAAAGGGGGAGAGAAAGAAAAGGGAGTAGAGAAAGGAGGTGAGGCTGTCGTAGTGGAATACAACGAAGTGGTGCAGAAACTGGGTGAAGCTCTGCAGTCGCTTCAGCGGGACATGCAGAAACTTACAGAGCAGCAACAGCAGCTTCTGAGTAACCAGAGACCCGGAAACACTCCCAAAAACACCTCCAAACCCGAACCAAGAAGTTTCACCAAAACTCCCCCTCGCACCCCAACAAAGACCCCACCAAGAACCCCGACAAAGACTCCCACCAGGAGCACCAGTAAGGCCTGGGTGATTCCTTCTGGGCCTGGCTCTCCTGCCGGTTCTTCCCCTTCACGGCGCTCTCACCTCCTCACCTCGTCCACGTCTCCCAAAACCAGCATCTCTTCATCATGTCCAGCTCCTCGGACCAAAACCCACTCCTCGTCCACTCCCTGCAGTCCCAAAAACAATCCCCGTCTCCAGCACCACCCCCACCCACGACCCTCCGAACTCAAATTCCCAACGCTCAATCGTGTTTTGACTCCGACCCAGAATGTGGACACGCTCCCCCACCTGCGCCGTGTGTCTCCCAGTAAATGTCAGGTCCAAACATCCTCTTCCTTCCGTATTGGAGAGCCTCCAACTCCCAAGCAGCCTCCTCAACCTTTCCAGCAGCTGCAGCCTGAAGAGAGCACCTCAGACACAGGCTCGAGCGAGACACCCACCCAGTTTAGCCTGGAGCTGGAGCAGGAGGACGCGGAGGAAGTGGGAGCCCTGCCAGTGTTACCACAGTCCAGACAGGACAGGCTGAGAGCCGCTGGAGGCAGCAGCTCCGGTGCTCCTTCTGAGTGCTCCTTTGAGAGCGACACCTTGTCCCTCTCTGCTGCGTACAGCACAGGAGTTGAAGGAGAAAGAGGCGAAGGAGCAGGAAAGCCCTGCAGCCTGATTGAGGCGTCCTTTTCGTCTGCTGGAGGACCAGAGGGGGGCAGTGATGAACCCACTGATGAGGGACAGGAGTTCTCCTCTGATTCGATGAGTGACCACACTGAATCGGCCACAGATGCTGTTAGAGAGCTACACATAGAGCAACTGGATCCAGTCCAACAACTCAATTTGGCGACAGAGGCCAAGGAGGCGCCAGAGCTGCAAACCGGACCAGCAGAAGGACCATCAACACACGCTGAGACAGCAGAGGTTTGTGGGGAGAAGAATGAGCTCGAATCGAGAGGAGGAATTGGATTCTTCTTTAAGGTTAGTGTTTAAATAACAAACAATGTAACTCTGAAGTAAAAAAAAACAATAAAAATGTGTAAATGTAGAGTTTTCACCTTGATGATGCTCTCTGTGAGTGATGAGATGTTTGTGTTTGTAGGAGGACGTCCACAGTGAAGGAGAGATGGCGCAGCGTAAAGCTCTGCTGCTGGAGAGGCAGCAGAGGAGGACGGAGGAGCTGAAGAAGAGGAGACAGTGGAACGAGCAGGAGAGGGAAAACAGGTGTCATTTCCTCCCAGCTCATCATCACATACATCCAAAAGCCAACTCTAAACCACCAATTTGTTTATTGCAGACCAGCATCCTCTGAAAGAAGAGTGGCATCTCCCTCCAGCAACCCCCCTGCAGGTACAACCTCCCTGTCCCCTACACCTCCAGCCACTCCTGCTCGGCGCGGGGATTTCACACGAGGAGAGTACGCGCGACGCCATCAGCTCAGAATCATGGAGGACCTGGACAAAGTCCTGAAGCAGAAATCAACACACCAAAGCCGATCGGCTAAGAAAAGCCGCTCACGGCCTCGCAGCATGACCAGAGAGGAAACCCAGCTGTCTCTGAGTCCGGCCAAGGGACCAACAGGTAACCAGTCAACAAAAGTCAACATCAGGCTGCGCTGAATGGATCTTTTTCATGTTTGAACCTTTATTTCTTCAGGCTCTAAGCTGACAAAGGCCCACTCACAGTCCTCACTGAACCTTGCAGCTACAGATGAGCCTGGAAACCCGACAAAGAAACCTCAGAGGTACTCGGACGAGCAGCACTTCCCTTTAGCCCTTTCCTGTGGCAGAGTATTTGATTAAAATAAAGATCTAAACTCCAGACCAGGCAGTCCTGGATCAGCATGGGTCTTGTTTACACGATCCTTTAGCTCAGGATGTGTTCTAAGACTTGTTCTCTTTATAAGTATTATTCTGGATCACAAAGTCAAATAATTTTAACGAGTAACTAAACCCAAAAATATTTTTTTGCTAATTAACTGTATAATTGGGTCTTCACAAATGCAATCTTTCTGTTTCTGTGCATTTTTTTTTTACATGTTTGCGTAAACTTGATTAAATCTAGAATCTGGGTCTAAAAGCATCTTAGTGCTGCCCCCTGTGGCAGAACAGCAGCTACTGCATTTTAAACTTTTGATTGACTGGGACTGGAACAATTTCACGTCATCGGTACAGTCTCCTCCCACTCCCACTCCCTCCCAGGATGGAAATTCCCCACACTTTGCCATGCCACTCTGTGCCTCCTGGCAACGCCCACTTTCATTGCATTTTTCAAATCTTGACTAGGGGTGGAGTTACATTTTCTGATGGTGTGCAGTCCCTCTTTAAATTTAGAGGTGCACTGACCCAAAGTGCTGTCTACATGCATGTAATTTACCTTCACCTCATTTCTTTGCATCTTGTTTCAGAGCAACCAGACGGCCTTTTGTCTTTCAAAGTGGTCTTGATCAATCGTTTCTTTGACTTCTGAAAATCTTTTCAACTTTTCTTTTTCGCTCACTTCCAGTTCAGTTCCTGATCTTTTTTAGATAAATGTTTTCATGCTTGTTTAGTTATCCAACTTTTCTAGCAGCCTGTCAGTAAAATTTTCTTCAGTGATGTATCACAACGTATTTACCCGGGATCCCCAAAGAGCTACTACAATTTTAACCCTCTGGAGGCAGGCGTTGCAGATTTGCAACGTTAAAACCTACCTACCTGGTTACTCCACATACGTATTTCATGAGCATTTTTTAAGTCAGAAGTACCCCTGAAGGACAATGTAGTTGTTCGTCCTTTTATCAAAACTTATTTTGAGCCTGAGAGGGTTAAAACACAGCAGATAATTGACTGAAGGATGGTGCTTCTCTTTGCTCTGCAGTTTGTTTAAAATGGTAAATGGCCTGTATTTGATGTAGCGCCTTCTAGAGTCCTGGAACCCCCCAAGGCACTTTACAACATAATCAGCCATTCACTCATTCACACCCTGGTGGGGATGAGCTACATTGTAGCCACAGCTGCCCTGGGGACAGACGCAAGGCTGCTGTACACAGGCACCACCGGTCCCTCGGACCACCATCACCAGACAAGGGGGATTAAGTGTCTTGCCAAAGGACACAATGACAGTGATAAACTGAGTGGGACTCAAACCTGCAACCTTCCGATTACGGGGTGAGCACTTAACTCCTGTGTCATCGTCACCCCGAAAAGGCCAATGTAAATATTCCCTCTTTCATAAAACAGCAGTTTTGCTCTTTAAATCTACTATTTGTCTTTAAAGTTAAATGAGCAGCAGTTGAACGTCACTTTAAAGCACAAATACGTTGTCTTCTTCTCCCTCCTACTGGTTGAAAGCAGAATTACAATTGTCCTAAACAACTCTGCCACAGCCTGCTTTAGCTATCACTAGCAATGAGCTAACACTAATATGAGCAAACTGACACTAAATTAGCCACAAAATAGAAAGATCCATACTGTTGGAGAGAAAAAAAAATACCATTGGTAACACTTAACAATAAGGGTCCCTTTATTAACATTACTTATTGCATTATTAAGCATTAATACACAAAGGGTCCCCATCATCTGGTTAAGCAGTTGTTAATACCTTATTTAATAGTTTATTAATGCTTAACAATTGTCCATCCACTCACTCCAGTTACAGCTTTATGAGAGCGTGGGAGCAGTGGCTGTGGGGTACTGGATCATCTTTTGGGCCCCCTCTGTGTGTAGGCTCCGGTGGGGCTTCTGGGGAAGCCCATCACACTGTTGGGGGCTCCCCCTAGACTTTCAGTCCAGTAGCAACAAAGCCAGGTCACCATCAGTCCGTGGTGTAATAGCCTCCTCTAGCTCCCTCAAATAAGTGTAGGCCATGCCAATGTTCACTCTGGATTTAGCTTCTTCTTATTCTTCTTCTTTTTTTGCTTTTTATTGAAGGTGGGCATGCTGAAAAAGCTAACTGCTAGCCTTTAAATGAGCCACCGGCACACTAAACAGCTATTGCCATAAGGCAGGTAGATAACTCCCACTAGTGAACCTACCTGCACCACAAAACTGTTACGTGTGGTTTCAGGTCAGCAGAGAGCTGTCCAATTTGAAGCTGGTAAATTTTCTACCTAAAAAAACCACTGAGAAAAAAAAGTTATGCTTTTGATCTATTATTTAAAGCAAATGTTCAATGTTTAATAGTGTTTGACTATTGTTTTACTGTTTTCTGTTAAATGTTCTGTCATTGATTAATTGACAATTTTCTTGTCAGTAATTCTCCCTCACGATGCGTGACACCGAACAAGTCTGCCCATCTGAACGGAGACAAGGACTGGGAGTCTGGTTCCAGCGGGAACTCTCCAGGTCCGGATTATACAGGTATATCAGTAGTTGTTGCAGTACCGCTTGTTTCAGTTGTGTTTCTGATCACGACCGAACATGTATTTGCAATTTTAGGTCCGAAGCTTTTCAAAGAACCAAGCTTCAAGTCCAATAAATTCATCATACACAACGCTTTATCTCGCTGCTGCCTCGCTGGGAAGGTCAACGAATCACAAAAAAGCAAGATCATTGAGGTAAGCCACCTTAAATTCTTTTGATTTAGGTTCTAAAATTTAAACTAACTTATTTTCATGTCTAAAGATGATATTTTCTTATGTTTTAGGAAATGGAGAAGAGCTCTGCAAACCACTTCCTCATTCTCTTCCGGGACTCCAGCTGTCAGTTTAGGGGCGTTTACACTCTCAACCCTGACTCTCAGGAGCTTGTCCGTCTGACAGGAGTCGGCCCGCGGATGGTCAACCCCACTCAGGTGGAATCGTTGTATAAGTACAGCTCAGACAGGAAGCAGTTTAGTGCCATACCATCAAAAACCATGGGCATGAGCATTGATGCCTTCACCATCCCTGGACATCTTTGGCAAGGAGGGGGAGGAGCAGGAGGAGCAGGAGGAGGAGGCAGGAGAGCAAGTATTACTAAGAAGGCGGTCAAATGAGGAGGAGTGTATAAGGATGTAATAAACACATAATAAACACAATATAGTTATATATATGTGTGCACACAGATGGGTCTGTCTGTGAGTCTTACCCCTGAAAGAGATCAAAAAGTGTCCCCTGCACAACTTTCAGAGAACAGATGCTCCAGCGGAGGAAAGTTTTGTAAATTGTTTGTTGCACGAGTTAGAGTTCCTCTCAGAGGCTACATATTTACTTTAATTGTTTGAAGTACAAACTTTTGCCTTTCTTTAGAGAAAATCAGACGTTCCTGAGTCACACTGACAGACCAAACAGTGACTCGCTGCGTTTCTGCAGACTGAAGCGTCTCCGTCATACAACAAGAAGCTGTTCTAAACAAAAAGCCAAACAAAGTGAAAATGCCTTTTTGAGCGAATGGCCTTTTTTTTTTTTTTACTATTGATTTTGTGGGTGGATGAAAGCACAACTGTTTGTAAAATGAAAGACAGCCATGAACATGATGCCGATGTCTTTTTTTTTTATCTCAGTACTTATGATGATCCGACAGGATGTAAGGTTCTTTACTACATGTGGAATAAGCTCATTTCTATAATTACATGACAGTAAACGCTTATGATCTGATGAAACTGAATGTTAGATGCCAATATCAACAGTTTTGGTAAATAAACAAAGAGCGTATGCTGAATGTGTAACAAGCTGACATTTTCATCCCTTCTAACACTTTTGCAATTTAATCAGTAAAAATATCTGGCAAAGTTGTTTTAAATAGTTTCTTTAGTTAATTATTAGAGGTTTGCAGCTTACTGAGTTACACAGTTTCAGGAATCAAAATGAAAAATGTGCTTCTGTGGATTTAAATTGATTTAAACATTTTTTTCAATTTAGTTTAATTGTAAAGCATCAATTCACAAGAGTCGTCTCAAGGCACGTTACAAAGCAGTAACATGTGCTGGGCATAAAATTAGAATATCATGACAAAGATCAGTTATTTTCAGGACCACCTTACACAAGAAGGGCAAGGCACAAAAGGTCATTGATAAAGAGCGGTGATGAAGAAACCGAAGCTTTCAAAACCACTTGTGTTCAGTGTTGAATCATTTGAACCTGATAAAATGAGTGACAACTGCTGGCCAGAATTCAACTTAGCATTAGCATGGAACGCAGAAGGTTATTTAATGTGGCAGAAAAATGACGTCCTTTACCAAATCTGTCAGTTCCTGTCTTTTAAAGTCTTAGTTGTGTTACAGAGTGACTGTCCCAGCAGACCATGCAGCAGCAGGCTGAGTTGTGCTCAGGGATAGGTCGCAGAGGACGACTTCTATGATCCCATGCTTCATTCGAATAACGGGGATGATTATGCAGATGCTTTCTTCTCCCCTTAGAGCTCAGTTGTAGTTCTCTCCCTGATGGTTTGCTTCAGCGCCACCCCCCACCCCCACCCCACGTGTGCGCCAGAGACCAGACTTGGGCTTGTAAATCCTTAGATTAATGGAGAACCTGTAAAGCTCACACTTTCATTGTGTATACTGTTAAGATAATTTAGTGAAACATACAACCATATTAACCTATCACCCTGTCCCTGAATTCAAGACGTGAAGATGCATGTGACGTCACGAAGCTTCATTTGGAAATGTCACGTGGTCTTACGCACGGTGAAGTGAGGCATCGACACGTCTTTGCCAACTATTCTGCTTTGAAATATTGATACAAGAGTCGAGCCTCTACCAAAGAGGCTGGCTGTCCACAGAGTTCTGTGTCCAAGCACATTAAAGCTAGTTTTCCAGGAGCACTACAACGAGTAACTCGGACTGGTGCAGCTCGGCCGGACCACAGTTCCCAAGGGCACGGTTCAGTTTATTCCCTCTTTTATTTTTCCTCCTTTTAGTCCCCCGTTGAGGTGCCTGGCGAGGCTGAGTCAGGCCGTCATCGTGACTCTGGCCGCTAATTGGCTAGGGGGAAAAGTCACTGGTTGGTTGTGCTTCACTGCCTGCAGCCATTTCCCCGTTCAGAGTCCGACAGTAGGACATAAAACTGAGCAGAATGTCCAGCAACACCAACAGTTTTCAGCTGAGTCGTGTATCTGTAGACCATACAGGTTACCTCACACACCATTTACTTATCCCCTTGTGCTATTTTGTCATGCCCCCCCCCCCCCCCCCACGCCGTGAGCGTAGCAGTTTAGATCCAAAGTTACATTGCATACACACCATTTCTGTTTAGTTTTGGTTTTATCCTTCGATAATGAGAGAAAATTCACACAAGGATGGAAAGATCTTCAGAAATTTAAATAAAATTTCGTACTTGTTCAACCTGTTAGACTGAACAGCATTTTATTTAAGCAGGTTGACACCCTGTGGCTTGAACGGAAACACAAACAGGAAACTGAAATAAAAACACTCAAGCTCATTAATAACCAACAAGGGTTTGACAAGAGTTTGTGTTTTATTGTGCCTTTCTCAGGATATTCAGTATGCAGCTCTGAGATGTATTAATAGAATCTGTTTTATTATTAATACAGACTTTTTATTGCATTGATTTGACAACAAGTGGTCTCTGACGCTGTCCTACTAAGAGTCATGGAACACACAGCTCTGTTTTGTTTGGGGAAAGTTTTTCTCTATAAGTACACAGAAGCTTCACATTAGCGCCTTATTTTCTGTGCAGAAGCTGGTTGTAGCTATTTTTATGTATATTCTTGAAGATAAGATTCAACATTTCATTCCAAAAACTGTTTTTAATTTTTTTTTAAATAAGTTGTTTCCTGGTCCTTAAAATGCCTTGGAAGCTGAACACCTGTTGTATTTGCCTTTTTCTCCTCTACTAAATTAAGACAAAAGTATGTACTGCAAAAAGCATTTTAATGCTAAAAGTCTGATCATATTAGGTTATTATAGCCCCCAAACTCAAAAGTACAATGTTATATGTAATATTTAAAAATATGATAGATTAGTATTGCTTTAAATTGTTTTTACTAACTTAAACTTCAGACCAGTGATCTGCGTTCTTGATCTTATTAATGCTTTGCTCAAATTGCTTGAAATCTCATTTAAGGAACATTACAAAAAAAAACTGATATTTTCAACAAAGTTCCTACTGCTGCTATTTCTTAAGACTAAATAAGAAATAAATGTGATTTCTTTGAAAAGTTTTGTTGTTAATATGAAAGGTTAATATTGCAGCAAAGATCCCACTGAATGTGCACACTGACCCTGATAAACATACAACATTATTGTTGCTACGCAGAATAATGAAAGAAGGAGATGAAGCATAAATAACAAATAGTAAAAAATCCACATTTATATAATTTTCTTTCTATTGGTTTAATGGCCTATTTTCATTAGTCCCAGATTTTTATTTAAACAGATTTCACGTTAAAGTTTTAGAGGATGAACGGACGTTAGCAGCTAGCTCCAACCATCGACACCACAGCTCTGAATTCTAACTTGTAAGCTAACATGGACAACACAGCCTAGTCGGTTTAAATAGGCAACAGTTTGCTAACATCTGAATAAGTGGAAGCACATGTTGGATGCAGGAGGCTGCAGGTGCAAAGCTGTACCAGAACTCAGAAAACACACGCTGCCGCAGAGAGGAGTTTGTGAGACACACAGGGAAGGATAAGGAGTGCATCCTTTCTGTCTATCAAACATTCTTTGTGACACCTCAAGGGTGTGAATTCATCTACCTGGATGAACAATCTGCTATTGAGCATCATCCGGTTTGACCTCAGCATCCACAGAGCTTCCAGCTGTGCTGTTCCACGTGTCATCACGCTGAGGTTCCAGCGACGGGCTTGTGGAGACGACCTCAGAGGAGTTAGTCGCCGGATCCAGAAAGATGGGGGTGGAGGGCGGAGGTTGGCTAGAGGTTGGGTCAGATGACAGATTGGCTGGTGGGTGAGAAGGAGGAACAGCAGGTGCATCGGAGGGCAGCAGAGAAGAGGAGTCGGATGGTTCATTTGAGGACATATTGGATGGAATTAATGAGGGTAACTCAGATAGTGTGTGTGGGAGAGGGTCAGACGGGGAGTCGGCCATCAATTGAGTGGGAGTCGGATGGGGAGTGTGTGCAGGAGTCGGTTCCTGTGGATCCTTGCAGACTGGCTCCCCCTCAGCCACATACCAGACCTCGTTGTGCCTGTTCAACAGCTTCAAGGGACTACACGCACAAATAAACACAAACAAGAGTTCACACAAGAGAGCCCCCCCCCCTTGCCAAAAACTAAAACAAGAAGACTTAGGTGAAAGACGTGTGTGTCACCTGTCATAGCCCACTCCGTAGTGGAAAGTGGAGTTGTAGGGAGCTTTCACTCTCTCCAGTTCTTTAGTCAGCAGGTGAGCGTGAAGTCTGGAAGTGACCGACAGCATCCACCCTCCATAACTCCTCACATACACGTCCATCTCCGGCATCTCGGTAAAATACAGCTGTGTGTTGGACGCAGACAGCAGAAGAGTAAACAGCAGGCAAGATCATCCTAATGAACACAACTGTGAGATAAATTAGTTACCAAAACATTCTTAATTCTGGGCAAACCACCTCAATAACAACGACTTTGCCACTTTTCTGGCTTACGAAGACATTGATGTTGTGGTAAAAGATGAGACACAAAATATTTTAAGAGAAAAATAAAATACTTAAAAATAAATCACATCAAAATGAGTTCAGTGGTGCCAGTTGTTTCTTAAAAGTTTGCTTGATTGCAACCCGTGCTGATTTGAACTATTCCTGTGGCCAAGGATAAGTGGCATACCAGTTTTTTCTATTGTTTCCACCTATGATTAATCATTATATCCAAAAGTAAGTCTGTGCCCTATTCACACCTGTTTAAACCAATCATTAAATCCTTTATTAGAGTTTTGTATATTCAAAACAAAACAAAGTTTAGTAAAACTTATGACAGCACAATTCCAAAAACGTATCTCAAGTAAATGGTGTTGTGATGTTTATTATTTATTCTAATCTGGGTCACAGCACCATTTTTGGAAGACTACATGCGCTGGTTTCGGTCTGTCGCCAGTAGTCACCCAGGCGGACCCCGGATTCCTGGTTCTTTCATTCCCAGGAGAGGGTTCAGTAGATAACTTTGTAGCGTCCAGAAATGGTCCGTTTTTCATCTATATATTGGCCTTTTCAGGGACAGGTCATCTTCAGACGTTAATCTGCCTCTGTGCGTCTTCTAATCTTCCGAGCTGCAAGAAAGATTCTACAGTGCGTGTTGACACTTAGATTGTCAGCATCATGCTCCTTCCTCAAGGACTCTCTGGCGAGCTGCAGCTTATTGATACCTTGCTTCACAGAACCAAAGATGAACTTTTATAATGAAATCTAGGGCAGAGCGAGCACACCACTATCTATATCTGTATCTGTACTCGGAGTGGGCGTAGTTTAACCGGAAGTGGGCGTGGTTTACATCAATACATTATTTTAAGTCTGAAATTGATATGGATTGATCAGAAGTCGCTATGTGTATTGTTTATTTGAAAAGTATTTACAGAGCAGCCTCAGAGCTGAGATTAAATATTTTTGATCACAGTAGTAAAGGAACTGTTACAGAACAAGTTTTTCAATCAAATCAGAACATTAATATTTATGTGCATAAATTAATACATACAGAGAGAGAGAGAGAGAGAGAGAGAGAGAGAGAGAGAGAGAGAGAGAGAGAGAGAGAGAGAAACAAAACCCTGACCAGAGCGGTGCGGAGGCAATGACCGACTGAGCCGTTTTCAGCTCTGTCTTGTCAAATGCACCACGCACCTTACGAAGAAAGTGACTTTAAATATTAAACCGAAAAATAGGCGAGCTGAAGAAAACCTAGGGAAAACTGAAGAAACGTGAGAAACAGTGAAGCAAGCACAGCGAGATCTGTTTGTGTGTGTGTGTGTGTGTGTGTGTGTGTGTGTGTGTGTGTGTGTGTGTGTGTGTGTGTGTGTGTGTGTGTGTGTGTGTGTGTGTGTGTGTGTGTGTGTGTGTGTGTGTGTGTGTGTGTGTGTGTGGGTGGGTGTGTGTGTGTGTGTGTGTGTGTGTGTGTGTGTGTGTGTGTGTGTGTGTGTGTGTGTGTGTGTGTGTGTGTGTGTGTGTGTGTGTGTGTGTGGATGGGCCGGACGGACTGAGCTCCTGGCTGCAGAGTTTTGTGTGTAGGGAGGGGCGGGCGCTCTATGTGACTGGCCAATCACAGACCGTGAAGACAGTCAGTTACCCAATGAGGATTTTCCTTCAGCACGATTGCAGATATTTACGAGGTTTACTCGTTTCATGCTTGTATTCGTCAAAAATGCTTTATCCGTACTGGATACTCGTCTGAAACGAGTATCCGGCTCATCCCAAATGAAATCATATAATGAAATGAACAATATGATTAATGAAATCAGGTAATGAATGGACAAGGTGTTAAATGAAATGTTTGGATTAATCTGTACTTAAATTAATAACGATGAAATTAATGTGTCCTTGCAATATCCATTTGTCTGATAATCAGCGTACATGACTTGACACGCACACACTCATACACATGACAAGATCACAAGGTTAAAGTAATCTCATGACACATTACTTCTTTATCCACAAATCAGAGCATCTTGTATCTGAGGAAGGTGTGGTTTCTGAGGTTTGTTGGTAAAACCTCCTTAACATGTCAAATTCTGATTTGTCAGTAAATCATAACATAGGATTTAATAAAACTAGAATCACTTCCCGTGTTGATTCAGTTTGAGCAGAACTTCGGACTGGCCAACCCGGAGGAAAACTCTTTGAACCACCGCATCTTTTGACAAGTCGTCAAAGCTGTTGCACGCTGCAGCTGACACAGCAAACGGTTCCTTCAGAGCAAATCGGACACCGCTTTGACTCCTTAAGAGTCCTTCCTTAGGCGCAAACAACCACCTGTTGTGACCTGGAGACAACTCGAGACCGGTCTAGTGGTGCTACGGACTTCGGTGCCTTGGGGTCCACCAGACTTCCTGACATTCCGGATATACAACGGGGGTCTCCGAAAAAGGGTCTGATGCCGTTTTATAAACCATCACTTCTAGTTCACAGCAGACCAAATTCAGTCACACTCAGAACTCAGTTTCTTCCAGATACGAGGGTTCTGATAAACATCACATATATCATCACACAGCACACCACAACATACACTCCAAAACACATCATTGTTTCCTAGTTGTCATGTCTTATAATTTGTTTAGAAAATAAATGTCTTACTTTTTATAAACTTGACTTTGTCTGAATTAATACGGTGTACTTACCGTCCCTGAATAAACAAATAATCCTAATTCTTCTGGTTAAATATTCAAGGATCAATCAAGTTGATATTCTAAAGTTATATGGACTCATCAAATCTTATTGATCATAATTAAAACCCCAAAATACATATGTAGGCTAACCCTACAACTTTAAATTCAGCTCAGTTATACTCCCAAAAAGACTATGAGTCAGTAGTTTCAACTAACTTCATTTAAAGGCCAACTTTGCTCATATTTTAATACATTTGATGTGGACTCTAGTAGGAATGAAAGCCTTGTAAGTCTTTATCTAGGGAAAAAAATGCTCTGATGCGTCTTTTTGACAAAGTAGAAGTCAGCTGGAGGACAAAGTAGCTTCAGATGACAGGATTTGGAGTCTTATTTCTTGATATTTGGAAATCTCGTCTCTGATTGCCTAACAGCAACACAACTCTACCACTGACTGTTTGCTCTGCAATGTTGATGTGTTATACCCACAAATAACACAAGCCTGAAGGAGTTATGCTATGTGGTGGAGTTGCTAATGCTAACGGTTAGCTTCTAATAGTTGAGATGTTCTCTGTTGTTTTCTGGACACTAAACCAACAACAACCTTCCTTGTTGCGAGTCAAGATGGGCAAGTCAATGAATGTTAAATGACAGTGTGACGAAGATCTGTCATGCTTTTCTGAACCAAGTGTTTTCTCGTCTATTTTCTACCAGAAACTCCATACGTCCACCCATTTTCATCCGCTTATCCGGAGTCGAGTCGCGGGGCAGTAGCCTAAGTCGAGAGGCCCAGACTTTCCTCTCCTCAGCCACTTTGGCCAACTCCACTGGGGTTATCCCAAGGCGTTCCCTGGCCAGGTGAGAGACATAGTTCCTCCAACGTGTCCTGAGTCTTCCTTTAGGGCTCCTCCCAGTTGGACGTGCCCGGAAAACCTCACCAGGAGGCATCCTGACCAGATGCCCAAACCACCTCAACTGACTCCTCTCGATGTGGAAGAGCAGCGAATCTACTCTGAGCCCCTCCCGAATGGCAGAGCTTCTCACCCTACCTCTAAGGGAGAGCCCAGCCACTCTGCAGAGAAAACTCATTTCGGTCATTTCTATCTGCTATCTCGTTCTTTCGGTCACTACACAAAGCTCATGACCATATGTAAGGGTAGGAACATGGATCGACATCTAAACGAGAGCTTCGCCTTCGGACTCAGCTCTCTCTTCACCACGACAGACCGGTACAACGCCCGCATCACTGCAGATGCAGCACCAATCCACCTACTGATCTCACCCCCCAGTTTTCCCTCACTCGTGAACAAGACCCCGTGATACTTAAACTCCTCCACTTGGGGCAGGACCTCATCCCTGACCCGGAGAAGGCATTCTACCCTTTTCTGAAACAAGACCATGGTCTCAGATTTAGAGGAGCTGATTCTCATCCCAGCTGCTTTCCTACCAGAAATTAATGGAGGAAATAGGTGTAGAAGACTATTTTCACTTTCAGCCTGCCTGTAAAACTCCGAGTGACGATCATTTTCAAAAATAATAAGTAAAGAATGGTTTCTCAGTGAACTTGCTCTTTAAAGAGCAAGTCACCCCCAAATCAACCTTTTTCTGCTAATTAACAAAGTATATAAATGTGTGTCTCATCGTGCTGTAGACACGTGTAGTCAATAATTTAGCACTTAAATACATCTTAGTTAAAAATTTAATATTCTGCCTAAAACTGTCAGTGTTGCGCCCTCTTCAGGTAAAAACTCTGCACTACACATGAATTTAAATCTGCCATCGCTATTGGCTAAGAGGTACCCTATAGCGTTAGCTGGTACATTATGATGTCACAATGCCGCTGTGAGCCTGTGTTTGTGTGTATTTGTTAGCTGCTCCGCCCTATCGGTCTGCCAGACAATGCCTCCTTGTGGCGTATTTTTCAAACAGGAAATGGGAGTGGAGTTAGGGTCTGGTAGGGGGTGAGTTGCTCTTTAAATAGCAACAACTGAGAAATGGTATAGAGACCAACAAACACCTGGACTCCTGACAGCCACCCCCACAGTGGACATTTAGAAAAGTCCCAATTTCTCCATACATCATGCTTGGCCCCACCCAATTAGTGAGTTGGCCCATCATGAAATCATTTTAAAGAACTGTTGTCACATATTCTATATGGAAAGATAAGAATATCATTGGGTGTTTTCATCTAATCTGACTGTGAGTAAACAAATAGTTTTGACCTCATTAAAAATGGACCGATTGTTCTCATGGTCTGATAAAAAGCTGAGGGCCAAGTGGAGTGAACCAGGTCAGTATTCTGAGATTTCACAAATTATCTGTGTTAAAAAGTTTTTTTTTCAATATTTCTGCTGATCTAAGTTAAGAAAATTATTAAAGATCACCAGATTATGGGTAAACAAATCTAAAGTTGTTTTTCTGCTGTCAAAAAGCATAAAATATTTTATTACCAAAAGTCATTGCCGACATAAGCTGAACGAGATGAACGTTTTGAAACCAAAATTGTGTAAATAGATGAAGAATTGTGGAAGTAGTTAAATGCCAAAAAACGTCTGGAAGCAGAATAATAAACTAACCGACTATAAAGAAAAACAGGATCAAGTTTGAAGGCTTTACAGCATTCAAACAATTAACGCCAAGCCTTTGATGTAGACAGGGTTTGACCTCAATCCAGGTGAGGATGGCTCTCCAACTCCATAGAAACGACAATGCTCCTCATTTAAACCTCCACCACCCCCGCCACCTGACCACTCACCTTGTCGTTAGTGGGCTCCGGCGGTTGGTCCTGATAGGCTGCTGACAGAGGAAAGCTGAGTGTGTAGATAGTTGGCTCCCACATTTGAGTCTCCTCTGGGATCTTAACCAAAACAGGGGCAGTCATCTCCATGTGGACACCTGCCCACCACACACACACACACACACACACACACAGAGATAAATACACATTGCAAGCACACTGAGCGAGACAGGGTTATCTGTCTGACTTTTACCTGCGTTGTTGGCTCCGGTGATGTACTGGAAAAGTCTCCTGAAAGCCATGGCTGCTCCCACTCCCATAAAATAAGCTTCAGCATCTGTTGACACCCAGCGAGTGGGGCTGTAGTGTCGCACCTTAACACACACACACACACACACACACACACACACACACACACACACACACACATTTAAGTTAAATGTGACAAATAAAAAAAACATGATTGCATTTGAATGCTGCCTCTTAGACTCACTTCATACTCGTCTGTTTTGCAGACCAGCTGATATTCCAGACACTCTTTAGACTCTGTGCAGAAGCTGGCATTTGTACTTGGTCTATAAAAGAAAGAGAGTGTGTGTGTGTGCCCTTTGGACTGTAGGCGAAAGTAAAATCTTATTGCTTGTGCCAAATTTTTATTATCAGAGATTATCGGATTCATCAGCAGGCTGAAACTTAGTAAAAATTACGTATTGCATGAAAACGTATGTGTGGTTCAGAGTCTTAATCATGTGCATTATGATTAAAAGGCTATTGCTAAAAGGGAATAACTGAACATTATAATGATGTCCAATCAACATTTAGACCAACGATTATGACAGAGTTCTGATTTAATTCAGTTTGAGTCAGAAGTTTGGGTGTCAGTTCTTGGTCATGTGGTCCAGAGCCTTCATTCATCCATCTGCAGCATCCAGCTTACCCAACACTACCTTCAGCTGACACCAGCAGGGCCAGAACAGCTATCACTGAGACGAACGCCCTGAAAATGAGAACACACATCTTTATTTAAATGAAATGCACTTGTGTAAAGTTGAGAACAAGTGATGATAGCTACATTAGAATTTAAAACTGAAAATTTAAACATTTATAAGCTGAGGATAAAATGGGAAATGAATTGCGCTTCTTTGAATGTCAAAATGCTGCATTCAGTTTCATTAATGCGGAGATGAAACGGGACACGTTTCCCTGCGACGCAGAGAGAGAGAGAGAGAGAGAGAGAGAGAGAGAGAGAGAGAGAGAGAGAGAGAGAGAGAGAGAGAGAGAGAGAGAGAGAGAGAGAGAGAGAGAGAGAGAGAGAGAGAGAGAGAGAGAGAGAGAGAGAGAGAGAGAATCTGCTGCATCATCAGTCTTTTTTTATCAAAGGCGTTTTAAGGTCAAGGAGAAAGAGTTACGGTTTAGCTCAGACTCCTTTGGAGACAGTTTTATTATAGAATAACCCTCAGAAGGCATTTTTCTGGATGGTTTCACCGCAGATTAATCATTGGATAACTTAAATCCGCTATCTGTGTTTGTTTAGGTACATAGTACATACTCACACTCCATAATAAAGAGGAGCTAATCCGGCTGAATAAAAATAAATGACGCAAAAATCAACTTTACCTGCGCAACAGAAATAAGAATGCTCGCGTGCAAAAATATCTATAAACAAAGTAGAAATCAGCATCAAAATTCTGATGCTAGAAAACTTACATGGTGGTGGTCCTGTTAGACTTTCCACCTGCCAGAGGAGCGCAGGGCGGAGCAGGGTGATGGAGACGGTCCGCAGTCTGCTGCACCCAGGTGGAGCCGGAGGATTTACTGCGGACTGCGGGGAAGAGAGGGGACCAGCAGGGCCCGCCCACAGCTCACAGTGGGGAGGGGCTCTCAGATAAACCTGGCTGCGTTCTCTTAGCACACAGCAGGACCAATCAGAGGTCTGATTTAAAACAAAGATTTAGTAGATCTTTTAACAAACTGTCAACAATGAGCCGTCTTCATCTGGTCCATTGTAGGTGATGCTCTTGGGTAAAATATGGTTGATAACTTTAGAGTCCTTGGTCCATCTGGGTCCAGATGTCCTCAAATGCAAATCAAAGTCGACTCAGTAAAGCGACAACACAGACCAAAGGTTAAGAGCATTAAGTATCTTACTGCCCTCAACTTGGAGAAACGGGAAAAAATGCTGGCCAGATTGACATTGCTAACAGCTAGGCACAGAAGGGATAGTTTCAATATAGATTTCTGCCATCTTTGAAAAGATTTATATAAACATGACTTTAACAAGAGTTCCATTAGCTGTGCTGAGTAGCTGATTTTAAAGTCTTGACAGATGCATAAAAATAAAAAAATAAAAACTGAGGTTGCTCACATCAGTGTCATCCTGGAACTTCAGGTAGCTTGTTGGCTGCTAATTTCAGCAATAACTGTTTTATGACTGCAAATGCTTATTTCGCGGTGTTTACATACCTTTTAGTTGTTGTCAACCCGGTCTCAGCATCTTACTCCACCCACACTTCAATTTTGAAAAATGCGCCACTCTTAGGCATTGCCCGGTGGACCAAGAGGGCGGAGCTGCGGCAGTGACAAAGACGGATGGCTATGCTTGCTCTTTTGACTCTGAGGAATCATTTGAAGTGGAGGGCTTTTCTCCATTTTTCAAACTCGAAGTCGTTTAATCCACTTTGAAACTGGCCCCAAGGTGACTAGCCGTTAGCTCATCAGTCCAATCAGAACATGTTTCTGCAAAAAGCTAATAACTTTTGGACCAAACTTTTCTCTTTCAAAAGCCTGTGGTTGTGAAGAAAAGGCAAAGCACCTCTTCTGAAATGAAAACAGACTGGCTGCATTACAGCAGCACTTAAAGCATACACACACACACACACACACACACCAATTTAAAAAGGAAAAAAGTGCATTTTTGCAATCCAGTTGCCTCCTAACAGAAAAACACATTTGTCACTTTTTCGTTAAACAACTTTCTGATTTCACATCTTTCAGATCATTTCATCTGTTTATTAAAATTCATCCTGAGAACAATTTAGCTAAAATATGTGCACACATAGTATTTACATATTTACACAAGTGTGATGTTTTGTTTTGTGACCAGTTTTATTGTGACAGTTCACACATACAGCCAGCCTTCTGTAACAAGCAAAAACCTTCAATTTCCCAATTTATCAGACTCCCAGAGCACAGAGGGTGCGTGTAAACACCACAGAGTCTTTTCTTCTGAAAGGAGGGACCTGTGATGAAATCAGAGGCTTTTCTTTGTTCCCTTAATAGGAACCAAAAAGAAAAGATTGCTGGAACTGAGCCACCAATTCCATCCGAGACTCAATAGCAAAGCGTAAATGCATCTCTTTTTGTAAGAACCATCTTATTTACAAATAATTAGCAAATGATCCTTCCACTGATCTTGAATGTGGATCAGTCATAAACCAAAGTTAAATAAGCTTCACATCAAGAGCAAACCAAGGTGAAACCAAAAGCAGAAACATTAAAAAAAAAACTGTTAGGTCACTTTTCTGCCCAGCCTGGCACACATGCCAAGAAATAATAAATTAAAAAAATCAAGCATGGCTGTTACCTAAAGTAGGTCATCGCCCTGGTTATCAGTATATGGACAAAGTGTTTATTCAAAAAGAAGTATGTCGTCCTCAACCACTAAAGCACTAAATTACAGCAGCAGTCCAAACAACAGATTTCCTCTCAAACATCAACACTCATACTGAAAAACACACATATCAATTAGCAGCAGGTCAATGCGTGGAGATATCCAATTTCAAAATAAAATCACATGAGAAAAGTAAGGTAGCGTGTAGCGATGGGACAGTAATCGATCTTAAAACAGAATGATGTTTAACAAACAGATGGGCCTTTTACCTGAGTATGGGCTATCGTCTCCTGAAGAAAAAAAAAACCATTTGTTGTGTCACCAATCCTTTTTCTTAAAGTCACACACACTTTCATGTCACCTATGAGAAGATACGGCTAAGAGGGGCACAAAAGTAGTTTTAAATAGCTGACAAACGCACTCCAAAGCAGGGCTTCTTCTAAAATAATAATGATCTTTGGAGAAAAACAAACCCAGAAACAAACAAAAGGGGAAAAACCAACAGAGCTCCTTTTTCACATCACCATCCGTTCATGTGACTCTGAAAACTTTTCATTTCTGGGTGGAGTGTCCGAGGAATTGGAGGATATTATTATTTTTGTTTTGCATAGCCAGACAGTGGGCACGACCTCTGGAGCCACTCGAGTTTCAGACAGCGAGCCATCAGTGGAAGAAGGGAGCCTTGGTCCATGTGTGCCCTTTAACACCAGCTCAGTCTGGGGGTGATCAGCTGGTCCCTCTCTTAAGATGCAGCTTTCTGATTACAAGGTGGGCTCTTTCTGGCGGTCGCGTTAGATGTCTTCTTGACTTTGGAAATGCCTTCCAGTGCACCCGACTCCGTCACTCTGAACACAAATTAAAGCACATATTCATATTGGGGTGTTTTAACCTTTAATGGAAGGTTAGTGAGGAGAACATTGGGGTTGTATAACAGATCTAAACAAGGTCTGGGTGTTTTTGCCACACATAGGGTCAGAATATACCTGCTTTTAATTTTGGGTACATGTTTATCGTGGCTGCTTCGCGTAACTTGCATTTTTTTTAAATCCTTGTTTACGAGCGTCCTCCAAAATTAACACAATGAGTTAACAGGCTGCAATGTGCAAGTAACCAGCAGGGGGAGTTGACAAAATGAGCAAAACATGCTGGCCATTGTCACGCCATCTCTGGTGCAAACATACCATCCACGATGCCACTGCTGTCTCTGACTCACTCGTGTTTTCAACATTAACCAGCTGCTGATCTCAGCTATAGGAAGCCTAAGTCACGCCCCTCTACTTCTGGACCATGGGTCCCTGGAAGAGCGCCAAAACGAATGCAAGTCAATGGGGCTAAAAACACTCTTTTCCAATTCCGTTTGTTACGTGCCATGGACTTCACATATGATGTCCGTGAATTTTAAATTCCAAGAAAGTGCTTATTTTCGAATGGGGGCAAAAGTTTTTTTTAGGGTTTGTGTAAAAATACGTCCAGGACTACAAATGAGCATCACCAAAGTGACGTCATCAAACCAGACACAGAGAACAGCAGAGGAACAATGGATGCAAGTTTAGCAAGCTTCAAATCCTTCCCTCAGGAGGAAAGAACGACCATAAATCTGGCTGCGTGGTAAGTAGCAGCTAGCTAGAGGGGACGGGAGATTCTGTGGTGACGTCATACATGGGATGTGCCGATGTCTGATTTGTAGTCACGCTAGTTACAAACTTTCACAAGCTGATAAATCTTAAAGTACACGACTGGCATGGTTGAAACACATCATTACTTTTCATTTAAATTAAAGTACAACATATGTGTGATTTTAGCCACGTTGACTTTAATTAATTTCATCTTCCGGAAGTAGATCGGCGTGACTTGGGGTTCCTATTGTTGCCATGTTTGACCCACAAATCCAGCACTCTTGTGCGGTCTGAGTTCTGTGCTGTGCCCCCTAGTGGAATCCTCCTTAACTGCATGCAACAGCAGCAAGTGGCTGCATCAACACAAGGTTAAAAAGCAAGAACATTCCCAGCCTTACAGAACTGCAGACGATTCCAGTATCAGATAATCGGAGTAAATACGAAAAGCAACGTGACCATTCCATACCACACCACTTCAATTATCAAGCGAAGCAGCATGGGAGCTGATCGGAGCACTTACATACAGTACAAGAAAAGGAGCGATAAAAAGACAGTGATCACAGCATGAAACAGCAACAAAGATGAAAAACAAAATGCCAAACTGGCTTTTATACACTCAATAAAACCTAATAAAAAACCTGAATAAGAAGAACTAAAAAAATAAAAATAATAATTTTGCAAAAACCAATTCATGGTTTAATTCAAATTCAATTCAAAGATACTTTATTAATCCCAGAGGGAAATGAGAGTTTCAGTACACACAATTCTGAGATCAGACATACATACGTAGGCATAGACATGACAGGAATTGGTGACTGTGGTCATTCGCAAACCCAAGTCGCGCTACCTTAATAGAGATCAGAGGGGTTTATGTGAGGATTGAGTAAGGTGGAGGGAAAAAAAAGGCACTTCAGAGTTACCCTCCACAGGGAGGGCAGCTTTGCTATGCAAAAAACACCTCAGACAGAAATGCAACAGACTTCAGACATTAAACAACGTAAGTGTCCACTAGGTGGGGAGGTAGGGTAGAGGATTCTCCAAACATCAGTGCATGCAGCTGCAATAAGCAGCGCTCGTCACCTCCGTTTGGACAGGGAAAGGAGGTAGTTGGGTTTAGAAAGCACAGTGACTCCTGGAAACGGTTCAACGGCCTTCACCGGTCGCAGTCCCACCCAGGCTGGGATAGGGAGACAGAGTTGCCATGGCGACGGCAGCATTCCACATTTCTTCTGAAGGGGAGTACCGTATTTTCCGGACTATAAGCCGCTACTTTTTCCCCACGCTTTGAACCATGCGGCTTATAATGAGGTGCGGCTTTACTGAAGATTTTCCTTCACCTGCCACTAGGGGGCGCTTTGGCAGAAAGTGAAACAAGTGGAAGTCAAAAGTGGAAATCGAAGAAAGTGCTCATTTCAATTTAGCACATGCAAGCAGCCGGCACGACGAAGAATTTTTTTCAAATCCATACCCCCTCATCATGGTAACTACACGTATGAGTTCATACGACGCCGCATTTAAGTTGAAGGCCATCGATCTGGCAGTAAAGGAGGGAAACAGTGCTGCCGCACGTCAGCTTGGCATGAATGAATCCATGGTTCGGCGCTAGAGACGGCAGCGGGAAGAACTCATTCAAGCCAGCTTCACCCGGGGATGATGACAGCAACACGGACAGCGACACTGGCATCGCCACAGAAAAGGTATGTGACGAAGCTCTTCTGAGGCTGTTCAACTCCGACACTGAAGAAGAGGACTTTAATGGCTTTAGTGCGCAAGAGGAAGATGAGAGCGAATGACTTCTTCTGGTAGGGAAGTGTGTTTTATTTACTAACCAGGCATGTTTTGTGTGCAGTTTTTATTTTCTAATCATGCAGGGCTTATTAATGCTGTGTCAGCGCTGTTCTTTTCTTCTAAACATGCATGCAAATTACCGGTAATAACGTGTCTGTTCTGTTTTTATTTTATAACCATCCAGAAATATGAATTTCTTTTCTAAACATGCAGGCACGTTCACCCGTGATTAAAATTCATTTTGTTGAATTAAAACGACGAAAAACTTCCGTGTAGCATCTTTCTGTCTAATTATCTTATGTTAAGGCCATACATGCCCTGTGCGCCGGAGACCTGCATGTGGCTGCTGCGCCGCGGCTTGTATTCGAGTGCGGCGTGTGTGTGTGTGTGTGTAGAAAACTTTTTTTTTGTTAGTGCGGCTTATATTGAGATGCGCTCTATATTCCGGAAATTACGGTATTCACTTCAGCCTCACAGGCTCAAGGGCACCAGATTCAGATAAGAACTTGTTTTGGGGCCAGACAGAGATCAGTTCCTCTCTGTCTTAAAGTTCTGTTGGTCCTCAACCCCTTTAAATCTAATAATGGCGTAATTAATCTATCCCAATCCATGCTGATCTGCCCACTTTCTCCTTGATCAAATCCACCTTCTGTGCCAGAGTCTGAATCTCAGCCAAAGTTCCAAGCTTACGACTCATCTCGACAATTATATGAGTTTTTGCGTTTACAGTGCGATGTAATCATCCCTGAGCTCCGGGATTGAGCCAATATTCCTCATCAGCTCATTAATTTTCCGGCAAGCCAGGTAACCACTCAGACCAAACAGCACGAAACCTGACACCAACACCACGAATATCCAGACGTCTTCAGAATCCTCTACAGACAGTTGAGAGGGACAGATCAGGTTCCACTGTTTCCAGGAGTCCATGATATGCCCAGCTGGCTCTGTCCCAGAGGGGCATCCGGGAGCCCCTTCTCCCGTTCTTATCGTTGAAAAAATTTTGTCAATCGCGTTGAGAGACCAACTGACCAGGTCCATTTTTAATCATTTCCAGTTTCCAGAAAAAATGCAGAAGCGCCGTACATCAAAAGACAGACAAAGAGCCTTGGGATAAGATAGGGAGGAGAGGAGGAAAAAAGCGTCAGTACTCTCCAAGAGCCGGAAGAAGAAAGCCAAGTTATAAAAATATGTTTTCATTCGGGACTTGAAAGCCGTAAAGGATGTTGACAGGCGGACTGTGATAGGCAAGGCATTCCAGAGAACAGGCATAGCGTGACCCCCCCCCCCCCCCCCCCCCCCCTTTTTTATAGCTGATTGAAGGGGGCGCAAAGCAACAGGCAGTCGGCCGACCTCAGTGAGCGCGTAGGTACATACGGCTTTCAGCATCAGACAGGTACGTTGTTCAAATACCAATTTTATTTATGGAGGAAATAAAACATTTAAAATGTATACCTTAAGGTATTTTTTTATTATTAAAGGTGTAAAATTGTGTAAATGCTTACACTTCATCCATCTCTACATCCTCTTCATCCTGGGGGAGCTGGAGGTACGGGTTGTTGGAGGCTGGTCTGAACTTGTAGCCCGTCAACACAAAAAAGATTAGAGTAGACATTTCCACCAGAAACTGAAGAAACAACAAGATGTGGAAACGTAATCACTCATCTCGATTATCAAACAAAAACAAAGGTTTAACATCTCCTAACTTTTGTATTTTAGACAAATTAAGCTCACAATTACAGGCACTAGATCAGGAATAGGCAACCCTGGTCCTAGACAGCCACAGTCCTGCTTGTTTTCCTTTCTCTTTGCTGTTCCTGCGGTTGATTACTTGGATCAGGTTTGTTCAGCCAATTAGAAGCTGCAAGTTCATGCATGGCTGGAAGACATGCAGGACTGTGACTCTCTAGGACCAGGGTTGCCTACCCCTGCACTAGACCAAACACCAAGAAATTGTAAATCTAGTCCCTGAAGTTTAACCAAAATCTTTCTTGACCACCAGAAACCATCAGGGACCTTCTACAAAGTCTTACCTCGTAGCACCACTGCCACTGGAAGGGCATCGTGATCTTGAGCAAGATGGCTATGATCCTTGTGAAGTAGACATAGCACACAATCTAAAAATAGGAAAACATGATTAAAATCATCCTAATGTCATGGAAAATTAATTCTTAATGGAAATTTTAAGCTAATTTGTAATGCCTTTTCCCTAAGGAAGCTATAAAAACTCACTATTTATACTCTACAATGAGATCTTCTCATTAAGCTCTTGCTTGGTGCTAGAAGAGTTTGTCTAGTAGAAAAATATATTATTTGGTTTCTAAAGGTTTGTGCTGGACAAATAGGGGAAAAAATGGATTATAACTCACTGATGACATTAATGTTGTGGTACAGATATGTGATTAGTCCCATTTCACAACAATAAAGAAATGGTTTGAACGTAACAAACTGAGCTCATTCTCACCATCACATAATAATGCCGGAAGAGCTTGAGCTTCTCCAGATTCATGGCAGCTGAAACAAACGTGACCATGTTTAGTATCTAAACAGCCAGCAGCTCAAATGACCTCACAGATGTGGCTCATCTGGAACACAATCATCACCTTTGCCATCTGTGCTGGAAGCCTCCTGGAGGTGACGGATCGACCTGAGGAGAAAATCACGATTGTTAAAAAGTTAAGAGGATCTACGCTCACTGCAGCACCAAGTTGTTCCGTTTTATTTTAGAAAACAATGGAACCAATGAATGTTAAGGGTGGGCAATGTGGTCCAAAAATCTCATTCCAATATTTCTGAGCATTTTGATGATAATGATAAATCAGACGATAAAACAAAGTAATAAAAATATTATGGGTTATTTCATCAGCAAATCCCCCTTTTTCAGTTTTTTATTTTTGTGAATTCCACATTTCCATTCTAACCCTATTTATTAACCTAAAAATGCGATATCTTAACATGAAAGAAGAATTAAACAAATACTTTTCACAAATATAACAAAGTGCTGTGGTTCTGCAGAACACAGAAACAGGTTTTACTCATTTTGTCATTAAAATGTTCATGAGTGTTTATGTGCCAAATCAGGTGTGATGGGGTTTAGAAGTTGATGTTTAATAATTACAAAAGGTGAGAGATGACGTCAGAGAAACGAGCGGGAGAGAGAACATGGTGGACGCCGTTTGTTTACGGAGTTCAATAAAGTTCAAAGAACACAGCTGGGCGGGCTTGACTGGGTAACACTGGCCACACCTGCAAGACTGCAATGTCAAGCTTTTAAATAAAACAAGTAAAAATGGGAGCAAGAAACAATCCAGCATCATATTTAGCTTTTCTTTGACTGTAAAACTGATAAAATGCACAAATATTATATGAAACCAGAAACACTGGTTGGTGTACTGAGCCATTTTACTTGCCTCCTTAAAAGACGATCCCACTATACCCACAAAATATGCCCAAATGTATCTTCTGATGGATTTATTTTATGTAACCTGTAACCAAAGATCAAATGTACACACTGACCAGACAACAGGAAAAAGGATGGCACCACAGCAGATGAGGTCAACCAGAAAGAGGATCTCCTTCCACAGGTAGTACTCACTAGAGCCTTCCTCTGTGGACTCGATGATGATGTAGGCAACATTAGCCAGGACCTGAGTGATAACAGGAGACGTCAAAAACATCCAAACATCTCACACCTGGTGGTTCTGGAGCACACACAGTACCTGCAGAGGAATTACTATCATGAAAATCTTCTTCTCCTTGTCAGATAGGATGTATTTGACAAAAGCCCAGCCGGTGCCGATCAGTGCCAGTGTGATGAACAATAGAGCTCCCTTAAGCCTGGACAGCACATAAACATAAACGTAGCATGTATACTGTGTGTGTGTGTGTGTGTGTGTGTGTGAGAGAGTACAGAAGCATGGACTAAACAGCATATCCTACAGAAGCTACTCACAGGTGTGTAATGTAATACATGACAGCCCAGCCTTCAATAGGATGTCCCTCTGTGTTGATAAAGTGGTAGTTGATCTGAAGAAAGGAACAAAAATGACATAAAACTACTTTAAATCTTGTTGTTAAATCAAAAGACACAACGATGGTGCAGAAAAGAAGATCCAACTCTAAATTAGCAGCTGTTATGATGATGGTGATGCTCTTACACTATGGAAAACCAAGGATGTGGACTTGGTGAATGCCAGTGCAGCCATCAGCCAGTGAATCTTGAACACACTATACCTGGAAACAAGCAGAACACGAGCTTTTACTTCTGGAAGAGAAAACTGAGCTGCCAACTTCTTACCAGATTTGGTCTGTTTCAGTACATTTGCTGTAGTCTCTAGTATGAATGAATTATTTAAGTTGATCTCTGAGGGGGGGAAAAAAATACTCAGTTACTCCTGCTTCAGGAAGTGGCATTTAGCCAGAGGAGAGGGGAGAGGACGGCCTGGAGCTCCCTAATTGGGATGCTGCCCCCGCGACCCGGACCCGGATAAGCGGAGGAAGACGAAGACGAAGACGAAGAGAGGGGAGCAGAAAACGGCACAATTTGGAGTCTTACTCATTAATATTCTTGATATGCTAGCATTTAACCTCTGATTGGCTAAACGCAACACGATTCTGCCAATGACTGCTCTGCAACGTTGATGTCTTATCTCCACAAATAACACAAGCCTGAAGGAGCTCTGTGGTGATGGAGTTGCTAAAGCTAATGTTTAGCTTCTACTAGCAGAGACGTGCTCTGCTCTCTCCTGGATGTTAAACCAACAACAGCCCTCCCTGTTGCGAGCCAAGATGGGTGGGTCCATGAATGCTAATTTAAAGAGCGACATAGATCTGACTGTGTTTCTCTATCGCCAGCTAATGCAGGAAATAGGGGCTGAAGACTTTTTTTGCATTAAGCCTGCATGTTAAACTCAGAATGACATATTTCATATTTCAAAAACAAGCAAACAAATGGTTTCTTAGTAAACCTGCTTCTTAAATGAAGAAACTGTAAGTCTGCCACAGCCTGCTAACCTGTGCTTCATGAGTGTGTACACCCAGACCATGGCAGCAGTGAAGAAGACTCCAGCCATGCAGATGTAAAGGCGAGACAATGGAATTTCAGCTGCAGACAGGAAGCCTTCAAGATTCTTCTCCGTCACCGCCACCTGCAGCAGATGCATTCAAATGAATGCATGCAAAAGCCCGAGCAAACACAAACACACAGACGAACACTCTCCACTCACCGTGAACGAGTAAGGATGCTTGTTTTGAGGATACATGTTCTGACAGAAGTGGAACTTTAAGCTGTACAGACCTTGTGACTTTAAACCAAACAGCATGTGGAACTGTTGAGGAGGGATAAAATGTTTTACAGACCAGAACGAGCAGTCCAATGCTGTGTAACACAGTCGTTGAAACAGCACACTTACACTGAAGTTGTAAACGCCGTTTTCTTTGCCCAAATCTAAGGTCAGGTTGGTGTCTTTGTCCAGCTACAAGAGAAAATATGGTCAATAAGTTGACTTCAGGAGATTGCACAAATGTATAAATGCACAAAAGCAACTTACGGGGTAATTGGTTCTCTCAATGTCTGTGATATGCGTTTCTTCTGTCTGACCTTCTTTCTTTTTATCAGATTCATTTTTGCTTCCATTGTCCTTTGAGCCAGAAGCAGAAGTGTCTCTCGACTTCCTCTCAACTAAAACACAAACCCGGGCCAAACCCCCACAAAAATTATTTCCTCCATTCAGCCCAAATACTTCACAGAGGAAACATAAAGTGAGAACAACACTAACCTTTACTGGTATCACCCTTTAGCTTTGCATACAATGTGTTGTTCTGGAAACCCATAGCGTACACATTGACACTACAAAAGGACATATTAAATAATCAACCTCACAAAAAGCTGCCGTAAAACCACAGAGGCGCTGAAACTGGACCATAAACACACCAAAGGTTGTTGATATCAATAAGAAAAAGAACGAGAGGCTCGCCATTGGTAGGTTTTGTTTTGAGAGGGCACGTCTCCGTCTCCTCAGCCTACAAAAACACAACAAAGAGCAAAAGCATCACCTTTAAAAATAACCACATCTGTATTTTATGATTACACTCGAGTAGTATGAAACACATACTTTATGGTGAGAAAGTAGTTAACTGAATATTAGGAAGCAATTAATTTCATCAGCCAAGTGTGAAAAGCCTCTGTATTATTATAAAGGGTTCAAATATAATGGAATGTACTCACTGTGTAGGAAAACACTTCATTCACACGTGACCTGGAGAGGCTAAAACCAACCTAACATGGAAGAGATGTTGACATTTTAACAGAGTCACAAAAATACATCATTCAACAGCCTGGGAGCATCTAATCTTGTCATCACAGTCTTGATGTGGATGAGATCCACCTGGAGATCCTTAAGGCTCTGGATGTTGTGGGGCAGTGTTGGTTGATGCGACTCTGCAGTATTGTGTGAAAATCAGGGACAGTTCCACTGGATTGGCAGACCAGGGTGGTGGTTCCCATGTTTAAAAAAAGGGACCGCAGTGTGTGTTCCAACTACAGGGGGATCACACTCCTGAGCCTCCCTGGTGAGGAGCCGGTTACAGTGGCTCAGACATCTAGTTAGGATGCCTTCCTAGTGAGGTTTTCTGAGCACGGCCAACTGAGAGAAGAAACAAGCTTTTATATAGGGTCTCTCAAGATTAAAATCATGTGGGGCTTCACAAGAACAAAAATTAAAAAATAATAAGATTAAAAAAACAATTTAGAATAAAATTGGGAAAAGTAAAAACTGTGATTAAAAAATAAATAAATGTGAGTAAAGGGAAAAAGAAAATGAATGAAAAAGAGGTAATAAGAGGATCCCAGGAAAGGCAGAATTGGCTGAAAGAGTGGAATGAGGAGAAGCTAGTTATGAAGAATCAACTGAAGGTCACACAAAAGCCAGCTTGAACAGGTGAGTTTTACGCTGCTTTTTAAAGGAGACCACTGAGTCCACTGCTCTCAGGGGGAGAGAGTTTCAGAGTCTGGGGGCCACAGCAGCAAGTGATCTGTCACCTTTGGTCTTTAGCCTGGTGCTGCACAACCAGTAGGCTTTGGTCACTGGACCTCAGGGACCTGCTGGGGGTGTAGGGACTAAGAAGATCACCAATGTGAGATGGTGATTGTCCATGTAAGGCCCTATAGACCAGAGCCAGGATCTTGAAATGATGAAAGTTGAGTGGCAGCGAAGTGTGGTGATGTGGCGATTTGGTCAGAAGCTGAGTACAGGTATTCTGAACCACCTGCAGATGGTTCAGGGAGGTTCTGCTCAGACACGTGAAAAGAGAGTAGCAGTAGTCTAAGCACGAGGAGATGAAGGTGTGGAGAACAGTCCCAAGTTCAGAGGACAGAATGGGACTCAGCTTAGCAATGTTCCTGAGATGGAAGAAGGAACAGCGAACAAGAAAATTGACATGATAATCCTGGGTGAGTGCTGGGTCAAAGGTCACACCAAGATTCCTGACAGAGGAGACCTAAAGGAAGACCAAGGACACACTGGAGGGACCATTACATTTGTGTCTGAGCTGGCCAGGGAACACCTTGGGATTCCCCTGGAGGGGATATATGTTATGCAACAAAAATGTAGGGTTTCTTTCAGCTGAGCTCCCTTTCTACGAGTGTATTAAATTTAAACACATTTTGTAAGAAGCTGGTTAGTTATTTTGTTGATTGTTTAGTTAGTTAACTCCCATTGAACACAAAACTTACAGGTAACGAAGAGTAGTTCAACTTCTCCGGTATCGACAAAGAAGTCAGATTGACATCTAGAGTTCCGTTGGCGAAGAAACCAAAGTTATTGAGGTCGACAGCTAATCGCGTTTCATTCTGTGAAAAACAACGGATAAGAGCGAAAGTGTTAATTGTTAGCTTAAACCTCACGATCGTAAACACAACATAAATACAGCTTATAAACGCAGCTGTCACTCTATTTACAATTTTTCATCTAAACATGTCTCCAGTCAACAAAAGTCTGACACTATTACAGCATAACACATTGCTAGCCCATTACAACTTAGTGAAATAAACACGTTTTCATAGATAAAAATGATGTGTCCTATCCGGGTTAGCTGCCTGGCTGGCTAATGATGACATATCCTCAACGCAACACTTCTGTTAACTTACCTTCAGAGTAAGTGTGTGTATTCTTGCGTCGCCTCCTGACTGCATTGAAATAAATAAAACACCAGCGAGATACCATTTTATTTGTGCCACAGCCATCACTAAACCTGCTAACGGTAACTGGTGATATTAGCTACTGAAAATCTCCCAGATGGCTAGCAACAAGCTGGTTAGCAGCCTTTACAGACGCCGAGGCAAGTTACAGTAAATTTTATACTGTAAAAATGTGTGGGCACATAAATACCATCGATTTTTTATAAATTATACCCTTGCGTTGGACAATTCCAGCTTTATCGGTTCTTTCATCACGCAAAAATAACAGCTAGCTTGTGTAGACGATGGCAAAATCTCACTTCCGGGTCTTGAATGAAGATGATGACACTCGTCATATCCGGTCACAAGTTTATCTTTTTTTTTTCCTCACAAGAGTCACAGGTATACACATGCAGTGTAAACTAAGAAACAAAAAACTAACTTTCTGAGCATATATTAGATCTTATACATATATCCCGCTTTTGTAAATTCAGGATTACTTTTCAATTTGTCCGCACCTTGTGTAACACATCCTACATTTAATCATGTCCCGTGTTGTCCACCTGGTTTGTCCATCGCTGATGTTCACGCAAACGCCACGTCGGAGCATTTTTCCCGGAACTGTCACACACTATAATATTTTAAATTTATCAAGTCTTAATTAACGTTTAATGTAAAATAAGGAGAAATTTCACAAAAATGCATCTACTGTCCATCTAAATCTAGATGTTATTCACATAATGTTCAGACAGGCGCCTAGGTGTTACTTAATGGGAACTTGCATACTTAACAGAAAAGTTAAACTCAGTAAACATTGATGATGTGCTCGTTGAATTTATTTGCAACGAGGATCCCAAGCATCAGCTTTTTCAAAACTAAATAAACCCCTTATTAATTAGATTATACGAAAAAGTCTGACATTAGCAACGTCTTTATCAGAGCGCTCTTTTTCTGCCATTAAATGAAAATTTTAAATAATGGTCTAAGACTTTTCTATGATTAAGTACATTAAGACTTACCAGTATACCTTGATAATAATGCTTATATGGTAAACCGCCTGTACTTGTGCCTTCTTATGGTTCTATAACCCCTCAACGCACTTGTTCACAACAGTCGGTCCTTCACCCATTCACACACAGGTGGGGATGACTTTGACAACATAGATGTGGAGAAAGAAAAGACAAAGGACTTGATTCTATAGAGGCTCTTGGTTTTCTTTGATGATTTAAGCTAGAATTAGTAATATTGAGTCAGGCTTTCTTGTAGTCTATCCAGGCCATGCACAGGTGCGTCGGGCTTTGCAGTCTTGGGCAACTAATTCAGTCTATCAGCAGCTGTTTTTATTTTCCTCTGAGGCCCTTTTGCACTGTGCTCATTTATCAATCCATGCGCCCACGTTAGCTTAGTTGCTATATATAAGTTTCTAGGTTTTAGAGAGAGCTAACATCTATACCAAAGCCAAATTCCTTGTAAATGCAATTTTAATTAGACCAAAAAATCTGAAATCTGAATCGGACCTTCAGGATCAGGACTTTGTGCCTTTTAGTATTCAGGATGAGTCCCATCCTCAGACTTTGGCAGTGCCCTGCTTAAGACAGGTTCTCTTCTCTAGTCTTATGTATCCCTTCTACTCTGGCCCTTCATTTGAACTAAAACTGCAAACTAAGACTTGACTCAACTAAACACATTTGGGAAAGTAGTAAAATGAACCAAAACAGAGTGGGGAGAGAAAGAGTCCACTGCAACCTAATCTGTAGTTTAACCCAAGCAGATAACCCCACCTGAAACTTAAGATCTAAAACCAAGCCATTAATACATCCTGGAGATAAAATTATCTCAATAGTCGATTTGCTGCAGTCTGCACTTTGAACTGAGTCTTAAAGTATTTTGCAATGCCACCAATCCCACAGATTGTCATTGGATGAATTTGAATTTAGCCACTTCCAACAGTCAAAAGCTGAATTAAGACATTTGGAGGGGGGGGGGGGATCTAACCTTAGACCCAGTATCCATATTGCAATGGCCTCCTTGGCACCAATTTTAAGTAGTTTGAGACTAAAGTCAACTTTTCTAAATATTTATACATTATAAGCCCATCTGTAATAGCGAGAAGTACTCTTTAATCTCAAATTTAAGTTAAGAGGTTTAGTTTGAACTTTAGAACACTGATGGCTCTTAGTTGCACACATTTGTACACCATGTGATTTAGGTTAAACAGTATAGATTTAGAAGTGTTCAGATAGGAGCCAATATGGCTACATCATTAGTGATGCAACATGAAGTGGAAGCAGACAGAAGCCTCAGACATGTGCACTTTATTGAGTTGTAGTGTACAGAGGCTTAGCCCCATGCACAAACCTTCCATAACACTTCAACACAAGGTAGAAGCCTCATCTTTTGCATGACAAAAACTGGACTAAGTATTGTTTATAGCTGAAAGTACAAAAACAAGTTTAGATTACATAATTTACATATCAAGCATTACTACAGGTCTGTTGGGCAGTGAGCCCACCAGAATAAACCTTCATAGAGGCAAATAAGGTGGTGAATAAAGACATCTGGACTGACCTACACAATAGACACATTTCTCACATTCACACCGCCTGGATGCTCTGTACTTCTTGTAGTTTCACCCCATTTGGGGCATTGTGCCATAGCCAGAGTGACAACAGAACGGAAGAGGTGTTGGTGTAGATATGCAGAGCCCGTTTGAGCAGTGTTGTTTTTGAATGAGGGGACAAAAACCGACAGTCCATTTAGAAGCACTTCCTGTGAACAATGCTGGGACCAGACTCATCATACTCCTGCTTGCTGATCCACATCTGCTGGAAGGTAGACAGGGAAGCCAGGATGGAGCCTCCAATCCATACAGAGTACTTTCTCTCTGGAGGAGCAATAATCTACAAAAAGAAAAAAAAAAGTTAATTGAGCCACATTGGAACCGTTTCACACAAGTGCTTCAACTAAGACTTTCCCTCAACAGGTGGAAATTTACCTTAATCTTCATGGTGGTGGGTGCCAGAGCTGTGATCTCCTTCTGCATACGGTCAGCGATGCCAGGGTACATGGTCGTACCTCCAGACAGGACAGTGTTGGCATACAGGTCCTTACGGATGTCCACGTCACACTTCATGATGCTGTTGAAGGTTGTCTCATGAATACCGCAAGACTCCATACCTGCAGCAGGAGAGGGAAGAAAATTATATACATTATAAACACACACACACGTTTAGCAAAGGCCAACACTTGAAACATTAGCCTCAACTCATTTCCTGCATTACCCACCAAGGAATGAAGGCTGGAAGAGGGACTCAGGGCAGCGAAACCTCTCGTTTCCAATGGTGATGACCTGTCCATCAGGCAGCTCATAGCTCTTCTCCAGTGATGAAGAGGAGGCAGCAGTTCCCATTTCTTGCTCAAAGTCCAGTGCGACGTAGCATAGCTTCTCTTTAATGTCTCGCACAATTTCACGCTCAGCTGAGGGACAAAAAAGTAAATAAATTCTCATGTATTGCCAACTTTTAATCTTTTTCCAGGCATACACTTACCTGTGGTGGTGAAGCTGTAACCTCTCTCAGTCAGGATTTTCATGAGGTAGTCTGTGAGGTCCCTGCCAGCCAGGTCCAACCTTAGGATGGCATGGGGCAGAGCATAGCCTTCGTAGATGGGCACGGTGTGTGTCACACCATCACCTGAGTCCATGACAATACCAGTGGTACGACCAGAGGCATACAGGGACAGAACTGCCTGGATAGCAACATACATGGCAGGAGTGTTGAAGGTCTCGAACATGATCTGGAAGAGAACAAACAATTAGTCATCTAGGTCAGGGTCACCCAAGGAGGCCATTAAGGTTAGTACAGTTACTAGCCAAACAGTAATTTAGTCAGACTGTACAAGTCTGAAGTGCAGTAGGTTCCCCCCCCCCCCCCCCCCATTCATGCAAATACCCAAGTTGGCAAATTCAGTTTGAAGTTTAAACTGCAGAGCTCATGCTGCAACTAGTCACTCAATGCAGTAGAGATGGAAACCTTAATCTGTAGAGATGAAGAGACCAGCTCAGGGAGAAGAAACCTACAAGTTCAAGGAACAGGAGGAAATGAGACCGAGCTGAGAAAGTTCCCATGAAGCCCTGCTGATGAGCCAGTGGTTTTTAGAGGGGATGTAATCATGTCAGCTGTAGTTACCTGGGTCATCTTCTCCCTGTTGGCCTTAGGGTTCAGGGGGGCCTCTGTCAGGAGGACTGGGTGCTCTTCAGGGGCAACTCTCAGCTCATTGTAGAAGGTGTGATGCCAGATCTTCTCCATATCATCCCAGTTTGTCACAATACCATGCTCAATGGGGTATTTGAGAGTCAGGATTCCCCTTTTGCTTTGGGCCTCATCACCAACATAGCTGTCCTTCTGGCCCATGCCAACCATTACACCCTGGAGACAGATTTAAAAATCAGTAAAAAAAAAAATTCTGTTTCACAATAATCCAATTTGTATATATTAGAAAAACTAACCTGATGCCTGGGACGACCAACAATGGAGGGGAAGACAGCACGTGGAGCATCGTCTCCTGCAAAGCCAGCTTTGCACATTCCAGATCCATTGTCTACAACAAGGGCAGCGATTTCGTCTTCCATTTTCTGAAGAGAAGAGAATGGTGAGCAACCAAGTTCAGTCCAGTTATTCCAGAAGCTGTCCGCTAGATGTCGCAGTAGCGCAGCGTTAATTCAAAGATCTTAGAAACAAAGACGGCTTTGACCGGTCTGGCCATGACCATATAAGGATAAAGTCAGGCCAGCCTGGAGGCATCAGCAGCCCGGCCCGGAAGCCAACCCTGTGTGTCGCCAAAACCCAGATGACACCGAATCAGTCACTGCCCCCACCGGATTTCGTTAACCATTCACGCATCTAATTAGCTCACAGGTGTGAGCAGCGATGCAATCACAAAGTTGCTTAATAAATTAAAGAATCCCAACGATCTATGTACAAAGTCATTTTCAGAGAAGTTCATGGCTACAACGTCATGAAAAGGTAAGAACTTTAGCACATTTAGCTTACCAGTCACAGCTACCCTCCGTGACTGAAACTCGAGACGCCAGAAACAGCGTCGCTGGACCAAAATGCTCATTTTTGGCGAGAAGGTGAAGCCTACAACGCAGTTTGATTTAAGACCGACCACGTTAGACAACCTCACGGTACTGGAATCATTTTAAAACATCTAATAAGTGTCGCTTTACGCACACGACCACGAAGCATCAGCAAACAACTTCCTCCACGTTTAAAGGTCGGCTCAACTTTTAAGAAACCGTACATGTTGAATAAATTAGACGTTAAACTGAACACGTAGGTGCAGTAATGAAGTAAAGCCTTTTTCTGTTCGTCTCTTACCTGTGTGAAGGCGGTTACCCGTTCAGGAGACCTGATAGTAGCTGCTGCACTGTGTAGTGTCGTAGCTTGACTGCAATGAAGTTACCGAATCGGAGGATTTTATGCTAGCGCGTGCTGCAACCCCTTTCCATATAAGGAGAACTTTCCGCACGGCGCCCTCCAATTGGCTCTGCTGCATCTAGTGGGCGTGGCGCATGCAGATAACGGTTCTTTGCCCTGCCATGACTGCTGCTGGTGGTGGGGGGTGGGGGTGGGAATAAAATAATCCTTATTTTAAAGAAATGAGCTTTAGAATGATATTGATATAAACAAGTATGTTAAGTATTTGTGTTTTGTTAAATTGGGGCAAAACTTACAAAACAGTTATCCACACTAGGAAACAAGTCCAGATTTCCATGAATATATTTATACCTTATTTATGTTTTCTTCATTTATTACTACGACACAACTCATTTGATTTTTGACAGAGGAGATGAAAGAGGAAGGACAGCTGGCTCGTGAAGCAAAAGCCTCTCACTCAACACAGATACTCATTAGCAGCCATAGCCAGGATTTACCACCTTAGTGTTACTGACAGCACCTCAGCTGACATGTCGGTCACATGCACGCACGCACACTCACACACACACACAGGGTGACAGAAATACACGTGGGTGATTTGAGGTGTGCTTACATCTAAGCTCCAGTGGTCGTAAATCACTCATCTTTCATTACTTGTGTTATGTGTAGTTGAAGAAGCGTGATTAACATCAGCAGCCCTGACACGCTGAGCAGGTGCAGCATCAAAGTGAACTACGAGATCTTATGTGACTCATTTCAGTGTACATGCACACACCCTCCTACTATGTCGAACACTCCAACTTATTGTGCTTCTGAATCAGGTAATATTTTCGTTGTCTGCATGTACCGGTCAACTTGTTGATGAAGATTATCTTGCAAATCTGTGTTACATTTGACTAAAGAATAAATGGCTGGGCCCAGTTTCCGTTTTAGCTCAATTAGGACACAAGGCAAAGACTTATAAACCTACACTGGGAATTCTCACAAGCTCTGTATGTTCCTAATAAGGATATTTGGGAACCAGTTCACCAGTACGGACAGGAAGAAGGTTTTTATAGAGCCTCCTTTATTTATTTATTTATTTTGAAGATGAACACAGGAAGTGACCACAGCTAATGGACAGCATGCAGGACAAGAGGATGAATGAGCTGATCAGTGAATTGGCCATTCAGAATGGCATTAAGTTTAGACTGGAACACACACACACACACACACACACACACACACACACACACACACACACACACACACACACACACACACACACACAGACTGCCAGGGCATGCAGGACAACCATCCCTTTAAGAGGACCTTTGGATGACATCCATATAAGGAGATATTGGAGGGCGTCACATAACAGGAAAAATGCACAGCCCAGATCATGTGACCACTCTAAGGAAATGAATGAGCCTCTCTTTTTAAGGCTGTGCATGTGGCTGAGTAGAAGTTGGTCACTATTCAGCCTGATTTCTACATTCATGTGATTTTTTGTCCTAAAAGTATTGCCTCACCAACATGTTGTGGTGTTTTTACCCACGTTAACTCCCTGGACAGTTTTCTCTCTTTCCCGTGAACTCATCATTTCTTGAACTTTTTTAAAACCCAGAAGTTTGCATGACTAATTCATGCATTTCAACACACACACACACACACACACACACACACACACACACACACACACACACACACACACACACACACACACACACACACACACACACACACACACACACACACACACACACACACCAGACTGCAGGCTCTACCGCCCTGCATTGCTCACTCACTCTCTCAGAGAAACCCACAGGCCTGGCTTTGGGTTCTGACTAAGACCGTATATGGAAAAATCCAGCAGGTATCAGTCCACTTTTCACCCATCTCCAAATTCAGAGCTCCATCTCAAAATAAAAACACAAATTACCTTATTTGTTTGTTTTGTCACATTTCCTTCCTTTATTTTGGTGTAATTTATTCTAATCTTACATCCTTTTATATCACAGTTTCATGCAGTGAAACAACATCAGTGCGCAGAACCACCTGTCTCACTGGCCTCTCCCCACTCACTTCTTACGTCATGTTCCAGAGTTCATTCAAAAGAAGGGCGTGTTCAGTGTGTGTGTATCTGTGTACTCCAGAGAAACCTGAAGACACCCAAAGTGACGTAAATTCCTGACCTCTTGGAATCTTACACATGTTTTTTGGTGGAAATTTACTTTTAATAAAGGAAATTGTTACATTTAATAAACTGTCATTGTCCCGCAGGCTTATGGTTCTGCTTTTCTACATTAAAAAAACTTTTAAAGTGGTCATGTCAGTTTTTCCATGTCATATTGTATCTCAACCAGCATGCATTGGTGTACCCCATATGGATATATACAAGTGGTGGTCATAAAATTAGAATATCAGGACAAAGTTCATTTAATTCAGTAATTCCATTCAAAAAGAGAAACTTGTAAATTAGACTAATTCATTACACACAGACTGATATTTGTTTATTTCTTTACATCTTGATGATCATAACTGACAAAGAATGAAAATCCCAAATTCAGAATCTCAGAAAATAATATAAATGATGACCAATGCAAAAATTTAGAATTGTTGTCCAGCTGGAACATGAAAAGTGTGAGCATGTACAGCACTCAACATTTAGTTGGGGCTCCTTTGGCCTGGATTACTGCAGCAATACGGCATGGCATAGGGTCGATCAGTCTGTGGCACTGCTCAGGTGTTATGGGAGTCCATGTTGCTTTGAAAGTGGTCTATGGGGTTATGGTCTGGCAAGTTTGCTGACCAACCAAGAACAGGGACACTAAACCAGGTATTGTTAGTGTGCTGGTGAAGGTTCTCAGATCATCCAGATCATGGTAATCTAAAAGGGTTCAAATAGGACGTTTTGCTTCTCATTCGAGGAGCTTTGTCAATTCTGACTGGAATATGGGAGAATCAAGCTTTTAAACTGTAGCTGTCTATTATTGCTGATGAGCAGAAACTCTCTCTGAATACCCATCCTCCCAACCCCCAATGAGTCGTTAGCCTCTATTGTGTGGGAGTTGTTGTATTGATCAGATGCAGGAGGGTGTGATAGACTGAAACTGTTTTAGTTTAGAGATTTAGAGCAAACTCACCGCTCAGGAGAAGAGCAGACACAGAAACTGACTGCAGGCAGGAGGATTTCCTGTTCCTGCGATCACTACGAGAAAGGGGTGGAGGATGTTTTTTTTTAAGGAGGCAAGTGGCTCTGAGTCCAGTTGCCTTCATCTGAACCCTTTTGGATAACAGAACCTTCACCAGCATGTATGACACAGACAGCATCACTTTACAGCTCTAGAACAATCAGCTGCGGCTGATTCTAATGTGGAGCAGAGTTTGAACCTGAAGATATATGATTATGGTTCTGGGCTAAAATACTGTCACGGCTGCCAGCCTGAAGAGGGAAAAAGCAGCCAGGGTCACCCAGCTCTGGTGATTGACTGGACACCGCCCCTCCTCCTCCTCTCTTCCAGGCTGCTGAGGAGCACAGCTGAGCTGAATCCTCCTGATGAGCCACACCTGGGATAAAAAGGCTGTGCCTTTAGCAGTCTGGGAGGCAGCAGTGCAGGGGTTCTGCTGTCCTCCAGGCCTCATTTTGTTTTCAACCCCTTCAAGGAGAAGAGTTTTAACTTTGGTAGTTTTAACTCTGAGTGATCCACATGGATCTTTTGTGCATGTCACGTAGTGTTGACTGTGTTCGTTGGTTTTTTAAGGTTAACTTCATTTGTTGCAATTTTATTGACTTCGTTTTTAAAACACCTTCTGTTCCGGTAAAACTTTTAACAAAAGTTTTAACCAGGTGTTTTATGTCAATGGATTGTTTTGGAACTTTTATCAACTTTGTGGATTTAGAAACCCCTTCTGTTTTGGTGAAACTTTTAATAAGTTTTAACCAGGTGTTTTTAATGTTTGAACTGCTCTTTCAATGTTAACCACCTTTTTGAGAGTATTTTTGTTTAGCATTATCTTAATAATGCCCGCCATCTGTTTGCTTGTGTTTTTAATACCTTTTTGTACAAATAAACCCATTTTGAACTCCTCCGCCAGTTTTTATGTTATCCCCATCCTTCACATTTTACCATCTCATGTCGGGGATGTAACAAATATGTTTTAAGTTCCACTAAACTTCCAAAATAATGATTAGACATGTCTACAGTACTATTAGACACTCATCTATACAGGTTATCAGCAAAAAAAAAAGTTGATTCAGGTTTTACTCACATTTTAATGTAGGTCTTTTTGACATAGACACTGGTAGCATTGGAAGTGTGTGCAGGTGCCAAGTCCTGTTGGAAAGTGAAATCTGCATAAAGTTGGTCAGCAGCAGGACACATGAAGCGCTCTAAAACTTCCTGGTAGATGGCTGCATTGACCTTGGACCTCAGAAAACACAAATGGACCAACACCAGCAGTTGACATGGCACACCAAACCATCACTGACTGGAAACTTTACACTGGACCGCAAGCAACGTGGATTATGTGCCTCTCCTCTCTTCATCCAGACTCTGGAACCTCAATTTACAAAGGAAATCCTAAATCTACTTTCTTCAGAGAACAAAATGTTGGACCAATCAGCACCAGTTGTGTCCTTACTGTCTTTAGCCCACGTGAGACTCTTCTGACGCTCTTACTCATGAGTGGCTTGACACAGGGGATGCGACAGCTGATACCCATGCCATGCATACATGTGTACGTGGTGGTTCTTGAAACACATACTCTAGCTGCAGTCCACTCTTTGTGAATCTCCCCCACATTTTTGAATGGGTTTCACAATCTAATGTTTGGACACAGAGCTCTGTGAATAGCCAGCTTCTTTAGCGGTGAACTTTTGAGTCTTGCCCTACTTGTGCAAGGTGTCAGTGGTCATCTTTTGGACAACTGTCAAGTCAGCAGTCTTCCCCATGATGTATAGCCTGCTGAACTAGACTGAGAAACAATTTAAAGGCTTTTGCAGGTGTTTTTGTTAATTAGCTGATTAGAGCGTGGCACCAGAGGTCTTCAATATTGAACTTTTTCACTAAATTCTAATATTCTGAGATACTTAATTTGGGATTTTCATTAGATGTCAGTTATAATCATCAAAATGAACAAACCTTTAAAAGGGATTTACTGAAACAAATCTACTTTGTCATGATGTTCTTATTTGATGACCAGTGGGCAAACTGTATGGGTACCAACAGGGTTTGCCAACACAGGGATCTGCCCACATGGATTTTAATGAGTCCATGTATGAGTCATACCATCTGGGCCCCTCTGAAAACCCATGCTGGGCCCATTTTAATTTATGTGTGCTAACCCCTGTGGGGCCATCATGGAAACCATAGACAAACCCCGTTGGCACCCATACAGCTTGCCCATATATATCCATATGGGACCCACATATTCATGCTGGCTGGGATTTAAACGTTAGGCGACACCCATTTATGAAGGTAAATGACAACAATACAGCAAATGAATTATGCATGTTGTCATTTTAGTTTCCCATTTCAGCAGCATTTTGATAGCTTATATTTTAAGGGGAAATAAAAAGAGATGGGCTTAGCTCAGATGGAAGGAGAGATACATTTTCAAATAATTCTTCTTTACTGGTTTAAGTGACTGTTTTTTACTGGTCTTAAAGGACCCGAGTAATAATGTAACAAAGTAAGTTCAAATGCAAGGAAATTTGAAATTCACAAAATTCAAACACAAAACACCCACCCTTGTTCAAACTCAGTAAAGCATATTTTAGCATGTACCATACACAGTATAAAAAACATACTCTGTACAGCCATAGTATAACAGAGGATTCATTACTATAAAGCTATTAATGTACACATATATTTACATTTGTTTTACACTTTGTCAGCAAATGAAGATCATTTAAACTCTGCATCCAATGCAGAACGATGAAAACAGAGATTTCTTCTGGTTGGTGTCAAGCTGTCCAGCTCTTTCCCAGGTCCACCAGCTCCATGCCCTCACAGTAGGACCGTGGTCTTGACACCCTGACCTAGTTAGAGAGGGGGGCACATCATTCAACATGATACTCGTAATACTAAACTCTCCCACACACTGGAGGCTGTCAAACACTCACAGGGGGTGTCCTGTGGGAAGCTAGTTGCTGCAGAAGTGGGAACGGAGTCCAATTAATGGGTTCCACAGGCCAGCTACAGACAGAGAGGTCACTGGCCTTACCCGAGTCCAACACACCATCCCCCATACTCAGCTCACTCCCCCTCCAACCATACTGGGAGCTGCAGGGTAAACAAAGAGCTCAGGGATTGTTTACAGCGACAGAAATTTGGAGAACCGACTGCTGCAGTCGTGGGTCAGGGCAAAGGTAAGTTACAAACCATGAATTTCAAACGTATCTAATCGTGATTTATACCAAGAAATGTTTAAGGCGTTCTTTTAGTTATCCTAAAATGGCATTTTCTCATAAATCACAAGTATCACAGATGAAATTGCTGAGAAAAGTGATAAACATGCAAAACATAAAACATTGTTTTAGTAACGATCAACTTCGTATTTGGTTAACATGATTCATACCTTTATTCTACTGAGGCTCAATTAGCAGTTAGCACCATGTCTATGGTGAAAGATCAGCATATGATGCTCAGTTCAATGGCAAATGCACAAAGTTAGCCATACAGAGCAGCAGTTATATGCTTGTAGTCTTGCTGCAAAAAGTTTAAATATGTACTCTGAACAAGTGAAATGTGTTGCTACCTTTTGTCCACAACTATTTTTGGTTCATGCACATTAGGTGTTTGTTATCTAAGTATCTCATGATCCACTGAAAGGATTTTAGAGACACGTTCAGACAGTAATCACTGGAGGGTCAACAATATCTGAATAATCTAAGATGTCTACAATATTAGCAAACTGCCACACCTCAGAAAATTACACAAAATTTCGCCTGGTTGCAGCTTAATGCTAGTCAGAATTACAACGCAAGATCAAGCAATTTATTTTCCATTATTTACAATAAAACAGCTGCACTTTCATAATTTCCCAATACAAGATGGTCTTGGCAGCAGCTGGTAAGGATATGGAGCTAATCTGATCCTAGTATTATGGAAAAATAAACATGGCTAACAGTTAGCTTTGACTAGCTGAGACGTGCAATGCTGTTTCCTGTGGGGTTTTATTTTTTGTCTGTTTGGAAATTTGAATCAAATATATGAAAAATTCAGTGTTATTTTATTTATTTTAAAGATAAAGTTTCACATTCGTATGAATTTCATTTAGTAGCTAGAAATACTAACAGTCATAAGACTTTTAAAAAATGCAGATTCTAACCCTCTGATTGTAAAATTCAAGACAGTTGTAACTTCATTAAGTCGTTTAATTTCCATGTGGATTTATCTCGACTATCATCACTCCTCATCGTCAGATCATGTCACACTGACCTGAAATCTTCTGTGATGTAGACGGTGTGCGCTTCTATATTTTCTATATTCTATATTTCTATGTCGATGGCTTGTACCTGTGAGGGTAGATGGTGTTGATGCGTGCTGCGTGGCTGGGACAGGTGGAGGGCAGCGACAGCGTGTCGTCGTGGTAACAGCAAGGGCGGTCGAGAGCTCGCAGATGCAGCAACTCTTCAGATCGTGTGAAGCCAGGATTGTCGAGTGAATCTGCCGACTCTGCCCACGAGCGCAACCAGAACCGACCCGACAGCTCATCAAAATGATTGAACCTGCGATAACTGTACAAACGAATGTGTTATCGTTTCATTTTCTCTCATAAAACATAAATAAACGTGCCTGATTGACCAGTCAGCAGACTTGCTTTCCAAACAAGTTAGAATGTTTAAGAATTGCTCAGAATGAAAAACAGGTAAAGTTTTCAGTCAACAACATCAACAACCACATCAGCAAAGTTTAGCTTCAAAATCTTTTCATGTAAAGCTAGTATCGCTACAAATAAAAGTCATAAACACGCAGAGTAACCTGTTTAAAAATGCACTTCCTGTATGAATCAAGACTTGTGCATTAATCTATTTATAATAGTTAAATAGCAGATCTCTATACAGATTATGTGCTCTATAAGATTCAGCATGATAATGAGGAACATGTCTGTCTGTATGACTGAGGGCTTTGTGCAAATCTACAGTAGGCAGCATCTGTCTGATTTGACAAACAGCGACATCTAGTGGGCAGTAATGCTTTTTTTCCGACACTGCCACCTCCAGATGTGTTGCTGCATAAAAAAACACCTAAATTTCATCATAAAAATACCTAATTCTGCAGACTGTATTCTCAACATGAAGACCATATGTGATTAATCCTGTGTGTTTCTACCTGCTGCGAGTCTGGTTCGCTTTGGCCTGGATCAGAATGGCTCGATAGCGTCGCACCGCCACAAAAGCCACGGCTCCCATGATGAAGGCTATAATGAGTAAGATGGCGAGACACGCACCCACGAGCCGCATTCGAGTCATCTTCATGTCACACCTCTGACCCATGAACCAGAAGTCATCACCTACAAGACACCTAATAAAGAAAACATAGCCCGAATCACACCATCATCAGAAGAATGGGTGTGGACCCTCGTCGGGTTGTCGTGGTTACCGGCAGACAGGAAGCTGGCCTGCATGGTGGGTGCAGATGCCATGGTGGTGGCAGTAATCGAAGCGACACAAAGAGGAGCAGCTGTGGTTTGTGGTGCCAAGCTCTGGCATGCATTTATATCCTGCTGGGCACTGCAGCAACCAGTCACACACGTCAGCCTGCAGCCCTGGAGATAATAAAAATGCAACATTGTCTTTATATTTCTTTTTTATTTATCCGGGAAACACCAAAGCCAAAGCTAGCTGCATTTTCTGCACTAGTACGGAAAAAGGTGAATATTTAATGCAACATAATGCCTTTCCTTGCATCCCAACAAATCCCTCGTGACAAAGGCAGCCACAACACTGCTAATGTGTCCTCAGGGCAAACGGCAACATAGAAACTGACCACATGCCCCACAAACAAATGTAACATCTGTAGAATAATTTGATTTTCTGAACAGGATTGAGAGTTTAACGGAGTCCTGATGTTCACATGAGTCAGCCTGTAACTGGATTAGTCCAGTGAAGAGGTTAAGAGAGGGATGCCTGTGCTGTTCCGTGCTTTTTAAGAGAATTAAGCGACTGTAGAGAAATGATAGAGCTGAGGGATGGAATGTAAAGAACAGCATGCTGCATCAGACTCATTAAACACAACTCCTCAGCCATCACGGCTTTAATTAGTGAGCTGTAGGCCTGGGCTCACCTCCGAGAGTGATGTTGGTGATCCTGGATGATCTGAACTTCCTGCCCTCATGAAGAGCTCGAGTTAGTCCCATTTGTTCCAGCAGCGACATGGGTGCACTTGCATCGAGCCATGGCAGAGCTTCATTGGTTTTAAACTCCACCAGAATCTGAACCGCATGGCCACTGGAACAATAATGGAACAGTGGAGTCTTTTAAACCTATTTCACCAATTTTCTAGATTCCTTTCACCACATTGAAGATTTTATTTTCTGGTTACTGTTCAACTCAAATGGAATGTTTTAGCTTGGTTTAAACCTCAAACTTTAAAGGTGTGGGAAACTCGGTGAGCTGCATCAGCAGGGACAAGTCCGCCACTTCAGAGGAGAACTTAAAGAGACAATGTGTATTTTTACCATTAATCTCTGGAAATATTCATCTAAACGTTGTAAACGAATTAAATGATGCCCAGTTATTGAAAAATATTGTTGGCTTTGTAACATATAACCACAAAAATCAGGTCTAAAATACATGGGAGTGGGTCTAAGTCTCTGGGTGACGCCATATTAAACACCATGTTTCCTTCAACGGGAGCCTGTGAGGACAAACTCCATTTACTGATTTGTAGCAAACGGTTACAAAACTTTCACCACACATAAACATTGTTTACCTCTTCACTCGTTGCCAGTGATGAAAGGGAGTCTGATGTGCTTGTCATTTTACTGGAGGTGGAACGATTTGACAAAGCACTCATTCGAAAATTGCGCTCTCGGATTTTTGACCTTATGGGCCAACCATTGGTAAGGTCTTGGTCAAACACAAAAATGCCGCTTGTTTGGAATGATTTAGGTTTATGCTCGCGGCAGGATTTGGAGTTTTATTTACGAATATTTGGACATCTCGCCTCTGATTGGCTAACAGTAACAGGACTAACTGTTTGCTCTGCAATGTGAATGTTTTATCTCCATAAATAACACAAGCTTGGAGGAGTTTCTGTTGTGTGGCTGAGTTGCCAGTGCTAACGGTTAGCTTCTTAGATCCACATCTGAAAACCTCCTGGCTGTTCCTCGAACCAGACTGAAAACCAAAGGGGACAGGGCCTTTCAGACTATTCCTCCCAGACTTTGGAACAGTCTACCTTCAAATCTCCGTCTCTCTAACACTGTAGAGTCTTTAAAAATCATCTAAAAACTCACCTTTTCATCCAGGCGTTCCCTCCCTAAATGTTTCAAAAAGATGGCTTTGTTTGGGATCACACCTTCACTTTGTTTACACTCATGATTTTATTTTCTATGTTTATCACTGCTATTGTTTTTCTGATGTTTTTATTGGTTAGAGGTATTTGCCCTGATCTTTATCATGTTGTACAGCGCCTTGTGATTTATATCTGTGAAAGGCGCTATATAAATAAACTTTACTTACTTACTTCTGCTAGCCGAGACGGTCAATACGGTTTCCTGGATGCTAAAACAGCAGCCTTTCGTGGCATGAGTCAAGATGGGTGAGTCCATGAATGTTAAGTGACAGTGTGATGTAGATCTGTCAGGTTTTTCAAATCCTAGAGTTTCAGTGTGTATTTTCTCAGAAGCTAATGCAGGAGATAGGTGTAGGAGACTATTTTCATGTTCAGCCTGCATGAAAAACTCAAGAGTGACTGATTATAACCAGAAATAAACAACCTGGTAACAAATGTGTATTTCTTTCTCAACTTTCTGCAAAACTTCACCTGCTCCAGACACCCAGCAGCCTCCTGAAACCTGGTGCCTTTTGAAGGTATGGCTGTACCTAAAATAATAATAAAAAAATGTAAAAAGAATGAGTAATGGATATTTTAAGATCAAATTATGACTGAATGACAATTGCACATCCTCACCCAGGTGGCCGTGTCTTCGTCTAAACCAGGACCTGAAGCCGACCTGGACTCTTCTACAACCACCTGCAGCAGCAGCTCAACCGTCTCCACTGGACAGAAAGAACAAGGATGGGAGTTTTAATCGCAAGCTAAACAAACACAGACGCATGTTGTTGCAGACACAATACCTCTGATTGTAGCAGGTCGGTTTGGGACAATGTAGAACACAGGACTCTTTGTGGAGTGCCAACTGGGAATTAAAGCAGATGGTGTCGGATCCAACTGGTTCGGTTTACTGGAATGTACAGTTGGTCCGGTTGTAGGAATCTGCTCTGTAGTTCTGCCGGAAAACCACTGCCGGATTTGGTCTATTTTAAAGTTAAAACCAGTGGTGATAAAGTCTTGGGATTGTTTGTGAGTATTAGTGTAGGATGGATGGTGTGCGTGGGATAATTGTGATGTGTGTGAGTGTGCAGTGGCGGTTTGGTGGTCCACAAAGGTTGTGTGCGTAGAAAATTCAGTGGGAAAGGAGGTTCTTGTCCTGTCAGAAAATTGGGTTGCGTAAGAAGGTGGAAAAGAATCTGAAGTGGCTAAACCTGAGGGTGTGTTGTCATGAGTGATTGGCAGAGTTCCTGTTGCAGCCCACGTTTGGATTTTCTCTCGGTGCGCTGCTCTGGGTGTAGGAAAAGAGCCAGCAGAAGCTAAAGTTTGTCCATCGTCCTTGTCAGACGTAGAAAAGGTCGCGTGTGTGGATTTTTTGGCAGTTTTCACTAAAGGAGATGGTGTCACGCTCACGAGTCTCTCTGTGGTTTCAGAAGAGTCCGCTTGACTCTGATCGGAAGGAGCCAGCGTGTGAAGAACGTCTGTACGTTCTAACTTTTCGTCAGGAGACGAAGCAGTTGGAGGCGTAGCATCAGGTGTAAATGAGGATTCCTGATTAGTGTGTAGATCAACAGCAGTGATGAGGGGTGAGTGAGTCCTGCTGGGGTCATGTGATGATAATGATGATGGAGTAGTGGGTTGAGTGTCAATGTTTGCACCGCTCCAGTCTTGCTGTGGAGGTATGGTGAAGGGTTTTACAGGGTCGGAGGTGGTGGCAGAGATCAGGTCAGAGTTAGACCGGTGTGTGGGCTCATGCCTCATCCAGGGAACAGCTAGATCGTGTTGATGTTTAGCGCCACCATGTGGAAAAAGGCTGGCGGTTCTCTCCAAAGCTGGTGTCTCAGAGGGAGAAATGGTGAGAAGAGCACTAGATCTGGACCCTCGGTGGTCTGAGTGTGTAGATGTCTGAGTGGACTTGTGGAAATCTGTTCCAATCAGGGGGACTTTTGTGTTTGTCCAGGACGTCTCAGTTGGAATGAGAGTAGGATTTTGTGTTTGGGATTTTCCGTCCATACTGACTGCATGCTGAAAATATGGGAGCGTCCTGGCACTCATGGGATCACCAGTGAGGTGAGCAGCTCCAGATGCATCCACTCCATTGTTTGGTATTTCCTCAGGAAGAGGGAGAGTTTCCCTATCAGCTCCGCCAGCGACTGAAAGCCCCCGTTGGCGTGAGGTGGAGGGGAGCGCCCTGCCTTCCTGAGTGGAGGTGTTGGACACAAACCGAGGGTCTGAACTCCTCACTGAATCTTCATAGAGGTGACCTCTGCCCTCCTCTGTGCCTCTCACCACCTCTTCGGCAACGGTAGCAATATTCCTGACGGTAGTTCCTGTCTGGAACCAGCCAGTGGGGTCTTGAGTTGAAAGAACCTCCGAGGAATTCCTTTCATTTTCATGAACTAAAAAACCAAAAACAAACAGAATAACAGAGAAGGGGAGGCGGGGTGAGGGCGATGAGTGGAAAACACAACATAGCATTTCTCTATCAACACAGAAAGGACGATAAGAACTTTCCAACTAACAAATTCACTGTAGAACACCCATTTTCACACACTGTGGCTTGAATTAACCATCTGTAGCTCTACGATAAACAAAAACTACACAGCTCATATCATCACCAAACAGCTTCTATCAAGCTCCCATGATCTGATGAAGGTTTTCTCACCATAATAAACCAGCTGAGCTGAATCTGAGGAGCGTCCTGCTCCCGTCCAGCTGAGGGTGGCTTGGTTTCCTTCACAGCTGGAGAGCAGAGCCGTATCTCCTCTCCGCAAGATCCGATCTTCTTCACAACGCAGTGAGATCGTTGAATCACCATCTGACCAGTCTAACTTTAAAAGTACCGTCCCTTCAGAGGGAACGTCTAACACCCAGGTGCACTTAAATGGCTGCAAGGGTTCATCAGCCCGCTGGCTTATGGGGTTGGGGAGAGTACTGATGGCACTAAAAGGTAAAGAGAGTTTGATGGGACCAGATGTCTCTCTGTCCAGAAGGACATGTCCACCACAGTAATGACCCGACCAGGACAAAATTTTATCTGAAGAGGAATAAAAAAATAATGACAGAAGGTGTAAATGTCATGGTTAAAACCCTTTTGAGCAATATATATATATATATATATATATATATATATATATATATATATATATATATATATATATATATATATATATATATATATATATATATATAAATTAGAATCAAACATAAATAACATTTCTGTTCTTTGTGGGAGGTTGAGATTAAAATCTCAAGATTACTAAATAATTTGCTTTTATCTGAATATTTTACAGGTTTCAGCCCAACATAAAGACTTCTTTACCTGTTGCGATGAGAAGAAGCAGCAGGCAGGCGTGGAGCTGCATTTCCAGTGAGTAGACATTTCAGTGTCAAAAATCCCAAATTACTGCAGATGTTATTTTTTATTTAAATCCACCCTATCGCTGCGCTGTAACACGGGCAAACTGCGCAAATGGTGTCCAGTCTTCCCGCAGAGCACCAAATGAAACGCAGAGGCGTCAGAGACGCTCTTCGCTTTGGCCCACCTCTGTCCTCTTGTCTCAGTCACATAAATCAGGTTCACGTGTGAGTGTGTGTGTGCGTGTGTGTTTGGGCTCTATGGGCTCAGCACCGCGCCTCAGGCGGTTCCGCGCGCTCGTTAAAGTCAGGGGGACACTGAAGAGGAGAGGAAGGAATCCTCTGATCGCTGCTGGAGCTGATTTTTACACAGAACTAAACTCCTCACAGGAAATATTTAAAACAGGAAGCATCAGGATGAGAGAGGAGCTTCTCCATTAGAGACATGTGAGTGACCGCTGTCCCTGACAGGGGCGGATCTAGGATTTTTATGACTGTGGGGCCAAGAGGCCACAATATTTATAGAGAGGCCAAGTATCAGTCTAACATCGTCACACACAATTTCTGGTAAGGTAGATATGCTTTTGTAATACATTTCTCAATTTTATTACTGTTGGGATGACTTCTATTCTAATTTTTTTATACTATTAGGAAAATCTTGTGTTATAAACAATTGTTATTGCTGGGTAGGATAGTTTTGGTAAAAAATTATGCATTTTTAATACCTTGTAGGATACCTTTTGTACAAATGTGGTGTTTTGTAGTTTTGTATATGATGACTTTTGTTTTAAATTCTCATTTTCTATATTGTTTTAATATTATTTCGTAATACTGTGCCAAAAAACCCGACAAGGGGCAGAAGTAAATTAGCACTAGCACTAGCTAAAGCTTGATTTATACATATCCGTCAGACAGAGACGTTTTGCTCTTGGATTTCTTCGTCACCTGAGGAGTGTTGCAAAGTAATTCCCTGCCAAGACAACAGATGGTGTAGCACTTTTCTGTGGTATCATGCCACCTTTACACTCATGCATGTGGTTCACGTGTATTTACTAATGTGTTTGTTTATATTTTTCAGAAACTTTATAACATGGACAAATTTCTCCCTCATTCTCCTCCACCTCTTCACGCGGTCACCACCTCTACACCCACCTTTCCTGTAATTTCCGTCCACGAATAAAACTTTTGTGTCATATTTTTGTACTCCTTCAGTCAATAAACATTTATATATTCGGGCTTCTTTTTTGATGTGCTATTCAATCTGTTCCGTGTCTGTCTCAAAATTTTAAATTTTTTTACTTTTTGACGGAGCAATGGCTGTTGACGAATTTAAAAGAAGCGGTGTTCTGACCAATCACATGCTTGCAATCTCCGTCACTTTAGACATCATTTAAACATTTGGGCATGTTTCCATCACCCTCTGTGAGCATGTTGGAAAGTCCTTGTGCCGATGCATAATGGTGTTGCATGTCTCCACGCCGATGCAGAAGGAGAAGAATAAATCAGGTTTTACACTTTGAATGTGTTGCATCAGCTACAACTTTCACTATGGTGAACAGCAACGTTCAGGGCAGAGTCTTTCTCAGAAGAACATATTATAAAAATGTTTAGTTTGGTATGTGTCAGTAGGGCTGGACAATAAATCAAAAAATTTATCGTTATCGAAATTTCTGACACTTATCGGGATAATTTTTCCCATGTCCATAAATTCGATAATAAAAGCATCAAAAGATGTGTGTAGGTTAGCAACATTCATGTCGCGTTAAGAAGCTGTACCACCTTGAGTTACGAAAAAATGTGACTCAACGTAATCCATCTAGTGGACAACTTTTGTTTCTGTGCATACCTGTACTTATCGTCAATTTATCGTTAACGAGGTGAAATCCTCAATAAATCGTGATATTGATTTTGGGCCATATCGCCCAGCCCTATGTGCCAGCTCTAAAAGGACAGTCCCACTTAATTACCTTTGCTGTTTTCTCTGTTCATCTCTGTGCTTTTGTTGCAAAGTGAATAACTGTCTGTATAAGTCTCTTATGCTGCCTTCAGGGACCAGGCCTCTCTTGCAAAGAAGATATGTCTCAGCTATGGTACCAGGAAGGATTGGGTTAGGGAATATGTGACATCACTTTCTTAAACAAATGGGTAAATCACCAGGGAAACAGGTCCAACTAACATGAAAACATGAAGTGAACAACACAAAACTTATATTTAAAAATGTTTATTTCCATTAGAAGCTTGCTGGACTTTCACATCTGAGAGCTGATTGATATCTGGGTGTTTGGGTTATTTGGGTATATCTAGATAAAAACTTAAAGCACTGATTTGTTTTTATTTTTAGTCATGATGCACGCTAAATCTAACAGGCCTTCCTGAAAGTTTCAACAGATAGACATGTCTATCACATGAAATTCAAGAGAAGAGAGAACACAATTCTCATCATGTTTGTTTCTGTGGAGATGGTTGGTAACGGTCACACCTGTCTCCAATCAGATTAGGATCACAGCTCAGAGAGTACTGGACCTCAAAGCCACCGTTTTTAGCTGGGCAGCTGAATCTGTGCGTCCCCTGGCTCAGGAACCTGGTGCATGATCCGAGACGGTCATCATGTTTCAAATCCTGGTCCCAAACTTCCACAATCAAACTAAACTGTGTGTACACCTGATGTGTGTGGAGAGAGAGAGAAGAAGTAGGGTCATTATGGATTATGGATCAGTTACATGACATCCACAAGTGCCATTTTTGTTTATTCATTAGTGAATATATGTGTTTGTCAGATTAATTACCTTCCCCAAATTATACAGAGCATTCCACCAGGGATTGTTTGACCGGATCATATGGGTCCTATGATATACGGATCCATACCACATTTTAGCATAGCTGTGAACAGGAGAAGGAGAGAGAAAGCATAAAATACATGTTCATCCAATGCCTTAAAGTCAGAATGCCACATTGTCTCACTATCCTACCTTTCAGTGGCTCCTACTGGATCTCCCTTCAGATTCCAGGCCCGGATGATGGTCACTGTCAGCGTCCCCCTGGAAGCCTGACGAGGACAGCAGTTGGTCGCCAGATTGGGAGTGTGTAGCCCACACTGAGGTTCTTTGGGTGAACTCTTGACAGCATTGTCCTCCAGGTACTGCTCGATGGCTGCCTTCATCCCTGCCCTCTGCTTCTCACTTGGCATGAGCTGATAAATGGGCTGAAGTGAGTAGGAAACAACATCTGGGTTGTCCTTCAGGGTGTGCAGCCAGCTTGTAAATCCCAGGGAGTCATTGTTGGAGATCAAAAACTCTCCCAACCAGCCGGTGCCTCCTGATACCTCTGTGTAGTGCTGGTGAAGACCTGAGCTGTATCCAGTGGCCATGTCCTGGTTCACTAGAACTTTGTTGCAGGACTTTTGAACACTGGATAGCTGTAGCTTCCCCAGGCCAACAGCGATGCCCAACGATAGACAGGAGTGGACCTAGATGAGGGTTTGTGTAAAACACAGTGGCCAGGTTCATCTGATTTTAAATGTGCCACATGAATATAATAGATTTATTTCCCAGGGAGAGGCGTGAGTCTTTCACCTCGCTGGAGGAGAGTCCGTTCAGTGAAGACAAACAGGTTCGTGAAGCGGTCACTCTTCTCAGTCGCCCTCCGAGATGAACCTGAAACAAAATTGAGTCTCGTGGATCTTTTCCCCCCAGTTTTATGATTGGAACGAAACACAAGTGGTGTGTGAGTGCGAACCTGTCGGATGTAGTGTGTGCCATAGGTGCGTATGAGCTCGTTGTACTGCACAGAGGTGGTAGAGTTGTAGTGACTTGGGAGTCTGGATGCATCCTTTATCAATTCTGAGCTGAGGGGGGGACTAGTTGAGACGCGGTAACTGGACAGAAAAACATAAACCACTTTAATCAACTTCAAAAACCTCAATGAAATACCTAGATGTAATGTGATGATGTCACTGCCCTACCTGTAGTGGCTGCAGGTGACCCTGTGTGTGCTGAAAGCGTACCGGTCCTCTTTAGTTCTTTGTGAAGCAAAACTGTACGCGTTGGAGAGGGTTCCCCCCACCTCAAGCTCGGCAGACACATTCAGACCAAACTGTGCAGAAAAAAAGTGAAAGGTCTAACATTTAAGTTTTAATTACTAGAGCTGCAATCTCACATGTTTTAGCAACCTGAGATTATTTTAGTATTCTAAGTAGGGGTGCTCACTGTTGGCCTTTTTTTTTTTTTTTTTTTTTTTTACTGCTATCCAATATGGCGATATTGTCTGACTCTTAATTTCCGAGACCAACGTAAACCAATACTGATGTACGCTGTGTCCCCCTCTCATAAAAAAATAACGACTAAAACATTTTAGGTTACTAACATCTCATATCTCCTAACATGCATGCTTACATTTTAAAAATTTTCTGTGCAAAATGACAACTATTTTGATTCAAGTTAGTAATAAGAAAAGTGCCATGTTTATTTAGTCTCCAACAGCAGCTGAATCCAGTGCCGTGCCCAGGCATTTTAGGATGGGGTGGTCCACGTGGGGCACTTGTTTATGCACGGGTGGCACCACATTCTTCCACGACCTTCTTCTTCTTCTTCTTGCTGTTTTGTGGTAGCCACTTCCTAGTGTAATACTGGCACCAACTGGAGTGGAGTGGCACTGGGAGCAAGACTCAAAACTCTGTTTATGTCAATATGAATAAAATAATATTACAGAGATGTTCTGTAGGCCTGGGGCTAGAAACCAATATTTAAGGTACATGTTGCCACCTCCTATTTTGGGGTTTGTAACCCCAAGTCTCTGATGGACAATGGAAAGTCAATTGAAATCAGGCCCCCATAATTCTGGAATGAAATTGAAGCCAAATAGGTAAAAATTGGCATGAGAGTGTGAGAAGATGAATGCGTGCTGGCAGCCCTGGTTGCAGATGCACATTGAGACTTAAATAATGTTTCTTATAAAGCTGTCAAATTACCGTGAATTGAATTCAGCTGTAAATGAACAAACTTTAAATCCTTCCGTTACTCTAAAAATCTCTCAGTTGTATTAATGTTCCAGATCTGACGTTATACCTTCCAGTCACTGCTGTCCTGGGCTGTGTACGTGTTGATCAGTGAGCTGTGAGCACAAAGTAGAAGAAAAACAAATCACTAGGACATTTTTTATGCTTTTCAACTATTTTGTATTTAAAGCTGCTATAGCAAATCTGCAAACAAGCTAGGTTTTGAACACAAACGTGGTCCCGGGACACTCATCCCTCCCATCGGATATCTTCCCTGGATCCACGTGCACCGGAACTGAAAACCCGCATTGCCAGAGGAAAAGGGCTGAACACCGGTCATCGTTTTATCTAGGTTCGAATGCTTTTTGTTGTCCGTGACTTTAAATGGAGTTTTTCTTTATGGGAATCTGGTAGTTTGTCCTAAAGTTGAAGTGGTAGCAGCTGGCTGTTTCTCCTCCGATATTACTGAGCGAGCGGAGAACCTCACCAGTGGTGTTCTGTTGCTAAATAAATATGGTGAACGGAGGACCCAGGGAAGTGCAGCCATTCAGCGAGATCGACAGCCGGACGGTCCAATCGTGGCTTTTGGTCCAAGCTGTGTTATTGGCGAGGTTTTTAGACAAACGCAAGTGAGCCACTTTATTAATTTTTTCCCACCGATTTTTGTCAATTCTCAACAATATACCTAGAGCTATAAACGTTGTTAAGAGGCATGAATATAATGTTTTAAGCTAAACTGTTTTACAAATTTGCCATTGCAGCTTTAAAACAGAGTTGATTGTTATTGAACTGTAATGAATGTGAGGAAAAACACAAAAATGTTGATAAAAGAGCTGTTATGGTTGTAAATGCATTATGTTATAAGTTTAATAATTATTGTCAATGAAACAAACTGTTAGAATATGTAAAGTTACTGTAAAAAAACACAAAAATGCATTTGACATTCTATAAAAAATGAATGTTATTTTAAAACCACCAATTAAAGGTAGAGAGCTCTGTCGTTTAAGACAGATGATTACGCTGCCTGTACCTAACAGAAGTGTGGTAACTGCTGTAGATATCAGCACTGCAGCGGCTGAATGCACGCCAGTCCAACACAGAACCTGGAAGCTGAAAATAAAGGAAAACACCTTCTTTAACACGTCATCGATAACATATGTGCAGGTATGTCTTTATTTTTTTTTACTTTCTGCAGCCTGTAGCCCTGAAGCGGGTTGGAGCAGAGAGTACAGGTGCCGTCCTGAGTCAGGTAAGTCTTCACGTCGATCACGTAAGCTCCTTTTCTCTGCAGTGTGACCACATCAAACCCCTCCCCAACCAGATTGTGACCTGGCACAAAAGGTGCAGCATCACAGTCACTGCGGTTCCCAATCCGACAGGAGAGAACAGGAGATGGGAAAAGGAGGAAGAGGCTCAGGAGGAGAAGGACTGGCCAGGGGAACATAGCTGGAATCAAAAATGAAATGTTGTAGGAAAAAACATAAATCATCAACATATTAACTACAGCTGTAAAGGTTAAAACAGGCTTGTTCCCTGGTCTGCTCTCACAATAAAGAAACAATGTTTTATAGGACTTATTGCGAGTTGTGTTTATCCTGGAAACCCAGTATATTTACAACTTAATGGCTGATTTCATTTGATAAATGGTTGGTAAAATTGCGCATAAAACCCATAAATTTGTGGTTTTTATTCTGAAGTTTTCTTCTCAAGATTTGAATGCTCACCAATTTACAGGAACAAAATGCAGCTATTTTTGTTCTGCGGTGCAAAGTTGATTTATAATAGGCAAAATAATGGTCAACTAAATAAGCAATCAATTGAAAAGACATGCACACAAAAAGAAATAATGAACTATTTTAACGTGATGTCTTTCAGGTGCACCTATTTGGTCAACCGTTTCCTGGACAGACTGATAAAATAAGAGCAGGAAAATAAAATTGTTTTCTGCTTGGAGAGAAACATCTAATTTCAACTCAAGGCTTTCAATAAAACCAAAATCCACAAAAATCAACAATCTGTTTTATATTTTCTTATTATTAAACAGAATCAAAGTGGTTTGCTGCATCCTGCAGAGGTGCATTAGCTCTTTAGACCTATTGATTGAGGATTTTCTTTCTGTTATGCTTTCAAAGATTTTACTATACCTGATCCAGAGGCTGACAAAAGTCTTGTTGCTGATCCACTTCCAGATAATCAGATGGAGCAGGATGGTGAGTTTGTTTAAACACAAGCTGAAGATCACAGTTTATAAGGATGTAGAATAAAACAGGGAGCCACCCCTCTAAAGAGATAAGACCAATAAAAATCAACCAGGTTCAAGGAAACAGCCTTGACATAAGCTGAACTCCTGCTTAATGAGTACACAAGGAAGTGATCACAGTTCTCCTATTAAAAAATCCATGTTTTAGTTTTTCAAATAATAATAACTTAATTATCTACAACAAATCCTGGAACTATGCTTCTGGAAATTAAATAAAGGAGTTAAAGACACAACAAAATATCATGTTAAAGGGATTTTAATCACTAAGTTGATTTAAAAAAACCTTTAAAATGAATCCAGTTTATGTGGCATCAATCAATCAATCAGCTTTTATTTATACAGCACATTATCCTACAATACATGCAACTCAAAGTGCTTAACAAATTAAAAAGGCCCCGCATACCCACACTCCCTCCCATCCCCAGAATTTTAAAAACAGTCTGACAATAAAAACCCCTCCACAACACTCAGCCTCCGGCACACACACACACACACACACACACACACACACACACACACACACACACACACACACACACACACACCATCCGGGCGGAGACCTCACAGACTGGGACGTTACTCGAGGTGAATCGTAAGCTGGACAGCGTTCTAGCTGCGTTACCGGTGTTAGTGCGCAAAATGGATGTCATCTCGGAGAGGGTCACCGGACGGTGTGGAGATGTTTAATAACCCGAATTGGCTTCACTGACGGGCTGGAATGACCAGTTACAGACTGAAGGCACAGGGAAAATTATCTCTGCGTGACCCAAACACAGTCTTGTTATCCTTATCTGATGCCATGCAGCCTTGAAGCAGCAAATAATCATCCCCCACGAAGGAAGGAATGCAGACAGATGCTGTGGAACCTGTCTTCTGATCTCTGAATTGTGTGTACTGAAACTCAATTTCGTTTCTCTGTATGTCTTGCACATGTGGTAGAAATGACAATAAATGACTTTGACACACACACACATACATACATGCCCCCTTCCCCATGGTAAAAAAACACGATTGACTGTGATCAGATGAGCCAGACCAGCTAAGATAAGGAGAAGGAAACACCATCAGGGGAGCCATCCGCCCCGGCAGCAGCAGATCCACAGCAGCAGCCGAGGCATTCAGTATGATTTAACACTGAACTCGTTTTTGGAATTAATACATATTTACAAATATTAAGATGGAGCTGATGAAGACCACAAGCACATGATAAGTTGTGTAAAATGGAAACTCTCAACAACTTTCCTCACAACACAATAGATTAAAAAAGTCTAAATGCAAATGTGAACTATGCTAACTTGATTTGATGGATGGAGGAATCACACTTATGTGGTTTCCAGAAGTTATGTTAAATCAGAAAAAAATAAACAAGTATATGTATGTCAGATCTAAATGTTTATATGAAAACTTTTTTTTAAATTAAATTACAGGTTTTTCTCAAGAGATTGATTTTAACTGTTAAATTTATTTAGCCAAATTCATTATAAGGATGGGGAGGTGGGGAGGGGGATTCAGCACCTTGTAGCATTTTAGCTAGCTTCCCCCCCCCTTTTTTTTTTCATTAAATTTGCATGATGCTGATTGGCCCAAAATTCTCAAGTTCTCCCTAGCAACCAAATGTGATTGGCTATTTAGCTGCAGTTTGGGGGCATTTTTCCCAGTGCCCAGGAGTGTAACTACTGAGTCGGTTGGAGGAAATGTATTGTTTAATGAACGACAGCTGGTGAAAAGGGTGTGTAAAAAATTGAATCCGACACATTTGTAGAAAATATTTATTGTAGTTTGTTTATTTTCCCCACTCAAAGAGAAAAGTGCCCCAGTGCCCCCATGGGTGAGCTGCTACTGGTGCCGTATAGTTTGGTCCGTGAGTAATGTACGGTCATCTCCTCAAATGATTTGAGACACATACCAGCTCTTTTCTGATCCATCCATTGAAGCACAGTTTCTCGTAACTATCAAAGCCATGAAAGACTTCTGGTACATCGGTCTATGGACACGCTGTCTGCCCGATCCCTGTAGCAGTTGGTCAGTGAAAGATGCTGCTTTGGATTTGCTTTTTTACAGTTCACAGCCTTAACTTAATGTTTTGCAATTATTCAAGAACTTGCAGGATTTTATAATTCAAGAATCCTCAGCTGAAGTTGTTTTCAATGAAGTTTGTCATTTCTATATTACATGTGATTAAATTTGATATTTGTGACATCCATGGAAACTTATGTCTCATTTACTTGTTAAGTCAGTTAGCTAAGAGAGCCTGTTGTAACTGAACTGACTGAATCACTTGTTATGAGCAGTAACATAAGTCTGTGTGACCCACACAATTAAAACAACAAAAACAAAAAATCTGAGTTCAGTCATCATTATGGAAGTTTGCAATTTCTTATTACAGAATAAATCCCCAACCCAGTGACACGTTTGGCTGAGACTCTCTTGGTCAGCTTGCTTCTCACACAAAACTCTCTGTCAGGAATCTTGGCATGACCTTTGACCCAGCTCTCACCCTGGATTCTCATGTCAGTACTCTTGTTCGCTCTTCCTCCTTCCATCTCAGGAACGTTGCTAAGCTGAGTCCCATTCTGTCCCGCTCTGAACTTGAGACAGTTATCCACACCTTCATCTCCTCACGCTTAGACTACTGTAACTTTCTCTTCACGTGTCTGAGCAGAACCTCCCTGACCCATCTACAGGTGGTTCAATTCAATTCAAGTTTTTTTATCTAGCGCCAAATCACGACAAGAGTCGTCTCAAGGCACTTCACATAATAAAACATTCCAATACAGGTCAGTTCATTAAGCCAATCAGAAAAACGTTTCCTATATAAGGAACCCAGCAAATTGCATCAAGGGGCTGCCAGTCAACTTCAGGATTCATTTCAAGATCCTGCGTGATCTTTACTCATGACAAAATAACATGAGGATATCAGTAAACAGTGTAAGATAACTTATGCTCCACACAAACACAACTCAGCTGAAAAATGTTGGTGTTGCTAGACACTTTGCTCAGTTTTATGACATTTTGTCGGACTCTGAACCAGGAAATGGCTGCAGGCAGTGAAACACAAACAGGGTTTCCCCCAGTGCTTTATAAGTCTGGCCACCCGCCCCCCTCCCCGACCCTATCGTGTCCGCTGACACGAACAGCACAACGAAACTAGAGCCCTCCATCAGCTGATACTGGTGAGACACAGCAGCGGAACGTGTGCAAATCCCCCCCCAGGAGGAGCGCTGCTGGACGGAGCGCGTGACCCCCCCCCCCGACGGCCGAATCCGCCAGGCTTAACTCATTTTCTGGGGGAAACCCTAACAAGACAAAAAAATCTGGATCAACCGGTGACTCCGCCCCTTAGCCAATCAGAGGCCAGAATCACGATGCTGGCCCGACCCAGCCTTGCCAGGTACCTCGCAGCAGGGACTAAAATTAGGGGAGAAACTAGAGGAAAAATACCAAACCACGCCCTTGAGAACAGTGGTCAGACCAAGCTGCATCAGTCTGAGTTGCTCTGAGTAGTGTTTCTGGAAAAACAGACGTATTCTGTTGGAGTTTTCCTCTCCACTCTCACTACATGCTTGCTTAATATGGGGATCACTGTAAAGTCTCAGACACAAGTCAGCGACTCCATGCAGTCTGCTGGGTTTTCTTACATAGGAATAATGAACTGATCTCAATGCACCAATAATAATGTTGAACTGGAATGAAATTAAGTGGATGCAATTTCAAGTCCAAACACTAAAGAGCCAGATAGGAAACTTTGTGTAAAGATGTTGGACTAATACTTAGCCCCTCTGTATCGTGGCCCCTTGATGGCCCCGTATTCAGAAAAATCTGCCACTGCTCTGGAATTAGCTTCAGTTAGCAGTCATTCGCTTTACATGTCAGTGATTTATTTTGGGGGACGAGGGGTCCACTAGCTGGAGGAGATCCAACAAGGAAGTCATTTGGGACCAGGAACCAGACAAGTGACAATACACTCAGTTTGTAAAATGTTAACAAAATATCACAGAGCTGAAGCAGACGACTCAGTACACAACTATCTGGGAAGGTTTTCCACCAACCCCCTTGTTTTTATTTGTTTCAATCTGTTTTTCTGTTACAATACTCAGGCATATTTCTGTGTGGATTAAATGTTTTTAGGAATCTAGAAACCTGAAACGTAACATAAAAAAATTTGACAAAAAAATTAATAAAAATGAAACAGATTTTTTATTATTTTTTATTTGTATTCCCCAATGACAACAGTGGTAACAGTTCATCTGAGCATTAAAGCTATAAAAGCCTTTACTTTACGCTAAAACCTGCAAGCTTTTGATAAGTCCGGGGGGAACAGACCATGCACATTATCAACCCAAAAAAAGAAATGAAGATTTCTGAATCTCTGCCGAAAACAAAGTTTAACTAAAAAGTCATGTGATGAGAGTAAAGAATGTAAAATAACACTTTGTTCACCCTAACTGTCTTTAAAACCTTCTAAACAGAACCAAAGAAACAAAAACAGATTAGATTACTGCTTAGGCACACACCAACAGCAGGAATGAAACCTGTTACAGAAAAACATAACACTCTGACATGCACGACCCGATTCTAGCATTTTGCTTTAGCTCATTTTTGCTGAGTGTTTCTGGAGGGCATTTATTACAACAGGCAATAATGTTCATATATGCCGGCCGTTTTCTGGTTATTAAAAGCTTGAAGTAATCAGGAATATCTGAAACGCTCATTGCATTTCAGTGTCATTTAATTATCCTTTGTTTTTCTGTCATTCTAAGAGCAGAAGGTGGTGCTGTGTGTGTGTGTTGCATTCAGCCCGTGCGTAAGATGATGTGGACTCCAGAGTCGGTAAAAACAGGACCACTCATGTCTCCCACTTTCAGAGCAAAGGAGGCGTCTTCAAAAGGTTTCTGCATCTGACCTGAAACAGAAATGTTGTGTTAGAGAAAATAATTGTCCTAGTATGTTTCACAGTTTTTCATTCTGACCTTGCATTAATGACCTGTTTTCAACGTAGGAGCTTTTCTAAGATATTTAATGGAATTTTTATTTCTCGGTATGGTTTTTAAAAGCTTATGACCATGTTATGCTGTTATTTCCTTATGAAAAACACCCCCAAAGTGTTGAAAATAGAAAAAATGCTGGAAGTGCTGCAGCGGTGTAAAACATTATCTGGTACTCTCACTGGTGCTCTTCAGCCAAGGCATCCACATGAATGTATAGCAAAAAGAGGTCTGAGTTTCGATCTCCTGAGTATGGCAAGCCAAATGAGCATTTATTCTGATATCAGGATATCAGCCAGAATTGTCATGAACATGTAAGCCATTTCTGTCCACTAGTTAACTAGTTAGCCATGTTTGTGTCAACTAGTTAAATAGTGACAGCCTAAATGTCAACTAGTTAACTAGTAAGGCCTAAATTCTCTCTAGTTAACTAGTTAAAATGTTTCATATCTTACTAGTTAACTAGTATTGCTCAGTGTGTTCACTAGTTAACTAGTGGACAGATCAATGTCCACTAGTTAACTAGTTAAAACACATTTAGTTTTTACTAGTCAACTAGTAAGGTACAAAAACTCGTACTAGCTGACTACTGAATGTAAAAATCCCACTTGTTAACTTTGCCCAATTTGGCCAGCCGCTTGAGCATTAATTCTGATATCTTGTCAACAGGTCAACTAGTTAACTAGTGAGGGTCAAACTGTACACGCTAGTTAACTAGTGAACACATTTTGACCTTCACTAGTTAACTAGTTGACACAAAAATGGCTCATTAGTTAACTAGTAAAGGCCAAAATGCATACCAGTCAGCTAGTTGAAGGTATTTGTGTCTCACTAGTTAACTAGTCAGGGTCAAAATGAGCCCACCAGTTAACTAGTGGGAGACGGAAATGTTCACTAGTTAACTAGTGAACACATTTTGGCTTCACTAGTTAACTAGGTGACACAAAATGGCTCACTAGTTAACTAGTAAAGGCCAAAATGCATACCAGTCAGCTAGTTGAAGGTTTTTGTGTCTCACTAGTTAACTAGTGATGGCCAAAATGTGCACACCAGTTAACTAGTGACAGAAGAAATGCCCACTAGTTGACTAGTGAACACATTTTGGCTTCCTAGTTAACTAGGTGACACAAAAATGGCTCACTAGTTAACTAGTAAGGGCTAAAATGCATACCAGTCAGCTAGTTGAAGGTTTTTGTGTCTCACTAGTTAACTAGTGACAGTTCAAAGTGTCCACATGTTCACTAGTGAAGGCAAAACTCCTAACTAGTTAAGTAGTTGGAGTAGGGCAGTGCCACTAGTTAACTAGTGAACCATTAATGACTCACTAGCTAGCTAGTTGATTGTAGCAGGCTCACTAGTTACCTAGTTGATGCATCCATTGTCCAAACTAGTTAACTAGTGAGGACATAAATGTATACTAGTAAACTAGTTCAAGCCTACATTCACACTAGCTAGCTAGTTGCACAGAATTCTAATTAGGAGGCAGAGAATTTCTCAAATTGAGGCTTTCTATTGGCTCACTATGTTAAAATAAAATATGAAAACCAATCACAGTGCGGAATTTTGCAAAATCCCACCCCAAACATTTGCATGCGGCACACAAGTTAACATGCTGGCCAGAGGAACCTCAGCTAGTAAACTAGTAGTGGCTTCAGTGTGACACTTACATGTAAACTTGTGAAGGCGGAACTGCTCACTAGTTAACTAGAGAGGGTACAAATGTCCACTAGTTAACTAGTGAGGTGCAAAATAAGTGTCACTAGTTCACTAGTGGGCCCCAAAACGCCCACAAGTTAACTAGTAAGGTGTGGATATGCTCACTAGTTAACTAGTGAGGTGCAGATTTGCTCACTAGTTAACTAGTGCACCATTAAGCGCCCACTAGTTAACTAGTAAGGTGCAAAAAAGCATCACTAGTTAACTAGTAAGGTGCAGATATGCTCACTAGTTAACTAGTGGGCCCCAAAACGCCAACTAGTTAACTAGTAGGGTGCGGATTTGCTCACTAGTTAACTAGTGAGGCGCAGATATGCTCACTAGTTAACTAGTGACGTGCGGATTTGCTTACTAGTTAACTAGTGAGGCGCAGATATGCTCACTAGTTAACTAGTGAGGTGCGGATTTGCTCACTAGTTAACTAGTGAGGCGCGGATTTGCTCACTAGTTAACTAGTGAGGTGCGGATTTGCTCACTAGTTAACTAGTGAGGTGCAGATATGCTCACTAGTTAACTAGTGAGGTGCGGATTTGCTCACTAGTTAACTAGTGAGGTGCAGATATGCTCACTAGTTAACTAGTGAGCATATCTGCACCTCACTAGTACCTCACTAGTTAACTAGTGAGCATATCTGCACCTCACTAGTTAACTAGTGAGGTGCGGATTTGCTCACTAGTTAACTAGTTGCATCTAAAAACACATACAAGCTGACCATTTTTGTCCACTAGTTAACTAGTGGAACAATTGAAATTTCACCAGTTTACATGTGTGGGAGTGCAGCAGCTCACTAGTTAACTAGTGCCTGAAACACAAATTATGCATATTCTAATGAGAAGGCGGGCAGAAGACTCCTGTTGGGTATAAGAATCCCACCCAGTCTAAAACGTATGTGCTGTGGCCTCACAATCTGATGGGTGTCCCTGAGCGCCAAGGCTTGCACTCATTAGTCATGGTTTGACACCTACTGGTTGGTCGTTGCGGCGGGTTCGAATCCCGCAGATGGCATTCCGCAATTGCTGTAACATTATTTATTTTCTCTTTGTGTTGTAATGTTCAAAGTTTTATTGTTTTACTGCTTTTATTCCCCCCTCCCAAATCAAGTAAAGCACCTCGTTTGGTGTCGTGTAAGGGAGATCAGTTGGCGAGTTCAAGTCCCATTGAGGAGAATTGGAATTTAGTGTGCCAGTAATTTTATTGTAGTTCATTTTTGTTTGGTATTGAAAGTTTGGTATTGAAAAAGGCTATATTAAAAATAATTATTGATATATATATATATATATATATATCTCCATCCATCCATCCATCTTCCCAAGAAATAGATCAAATGACACTGAGGGAAAAAACTGTGGTTATTTTGGAGAGGGTGCTGGCTGCAAAACCACAAAGGCGGAGCTGCACCCCGCCCATTCACGCAAACTCAGCCTAGCCCACTGACTTCCGTTTTTGTTTTCAACTTTATCGCAAACTGACCTGACCCACATGAATTACGGCTGTTACTAGTTTACAGTCGTTAATGCTATGTTCTATACTCCAATTAAACAAGATAAATATAACTTGCTACATGACAAAGACTGAATATATCTCGAAATGAAAAGGTTTCTTTTAACGAATATCTGCCTACAGCTGGTCTAATAAAAGTGGTGTACAACAGCACTTCGGTCTATTGAATGGCCTCTGGTAGTCTAGTGGTAAAATCGTCTGAGTTGGTTTTTGCTTTCCCCTCAGCTGATGCTGGTTCGATTCTCGGTGGGGTCATCAGCAGTCTATTTAGCCACATTCAATTTGTTTATATTTTAGTTGTAATGTTTCTTTTCAGCAAAATATTTATGTCGCTAAAAGTTCTTTGAATTTGGTCGTTCCTAAACAGCATTTTAGTTGAAACTCTGCTCACAAATGGACTCACACTGGCTAAATAAACGAATAAATAAATAAATAAACACATTATATGTTAAACGGTATACCAGTAAATTGTTGTAAACATAGTACTGGCAAGTGTAGCTAGAAATGAAGAAAAGAGGTTGTAAACTACCTAAAACTTACACTACTGGGAGGCGAAACAGCATGTCAACCTGACTCCATAACCACTACACCACCACATCTGTTATAAATCAAGTGGCGTTACATGTAATTGTGCTGCCCAGTGTGTCTCTGAGATGGGATGTATGGTTTATTGGCGGTGTCTCAGTAGAAGTCATTTCAGAAATAATTTGTCAGAAAATTCACAGAATATCCAGATTTGAGAACCAAGACCAGACCCGCTTCAGGGGAGGAGACCAAATTGAAGCTGAGATGGGAGGAAAATGCATGAATGAGGCTAAAAATGGCTTTGGCGTGTTTCTTATGAGGAAATGACAATATAACATGATTAAAAGTTCCAAAAGTTAGATTTTTAATTATATGGAACCTTTACAAAAACTGTTCAATTAACTTCTCAACTCCGTCCTCAATCTCGCATTTTTTAGCTACAACACCCTCTTTGGTTCCAGAATGCTATCAAGTCTGACAACTGGAAGGAATTAGACTGACTCTAATGGAATGGGCGGGGCTGATTCTGGAATGGGCGGCGCTGACTCTGGTGCAGCTCCACCTTCTGGTGCAGCTCCGCCTTTGTGGTTCTGCAGCAAGCACCACTTGTTATTTTGAGCTAGTACCAGAAGACAGTGTAACCTTTTTTAGTTCTCTCCAGTCAAAACAAAACTTTAGACTTTTTTCTTTTTTAAATTTAACAGGGAACAGCAATCAATTGAACAGGGAACTGCAACCAGTAGTCACACAACAAAATAAAATCACACAAACAAAATAAAGTTACTCTCCTTTTTTCTTGGTGTCTGAAAAGGGCAGGGAAAACCATCAGACTCCAGTCACCCATCGAATGGACTCTTCACCCTCCTGCCCTCTGGGAAGCGCTACAGGAGCCTATGGACTAAGACTACCAGGTCCCGAAACAGTTTCTTCCCCACAGCTGTCAGACTCCTAAACTCTGCCTGCTGACATAACACCCCAAACCAGCAGCACCCTACATAAACTCTGTAGAAACAAGAAAGCCCTGCAAATCGATGCAGAGCGTCGCGGGATATGCCTGACTGGTCATATATATTACCTCTCATGACACTGACCTCTGACCCTATGAACTTGTGTATGTGATGAGTTTATTTACCTTTGATAGGGAGTTATGACCTCTGATTTTGTCAAAATCCTTCAA